CCATTTCAATATGATTGCTTGCACAGTGCTCCTTGGGATGTTTAAAGCTTTGGAAATCTTTTTGTAGCCAAATCCAGATTTAAACTTCTCCACAACAGTATCTCGGACCTGCCTGGTGTGTTCCTTGGTCTTCATGATGTTCTCTGCTCTTTGAACAGAACCCTGGGTCTATCACAGAGCAGGTGCATTTATACGGAGACTTGATTACACACAGGTGGATTCTATTTATCATCATCAGTCATTTGGGACAACATTGGATCATTCATAGATCCTCACTGAACTTCTGGAGTGAGTTTGCTGCACTGAAAGTAAAGGGGCCGAATAATATTGCACGTCCCACTTTTCAGTTTTTTATTTGTTAAAAAAAGTTTGACACAACCAATAAATTTCATTCCACTTCATGATTGCGTCCCACTTGTTGTTGATTCTTCACAAAAAATTAAAATTCTATATCTTTATGTTTGAAGCCTGAAATGTGGCAAAAGGTTGAAAAGTTCAAGGGGGCCGAATACTTTCGCAAGGCACAGTATGTTTGCAAACTGCGCCAGATATAAAAAATAGTTTTAGCAAAGAGATTTTTATTTATTCTATTAATTCATGTAATATTAAATTGAATAATTTGTTTTTTCTCTCTTTCACATGGTTTATTCTTATCAGATAGTTGGCACAGTATTGGTAAAGCTTGTAGTATTTAACATATTGACAGTGAGTTTCTTCTTTTCTGCTCTTTTCCCTGTCGAGTTTGCTCTTGTTCATGTGCCAGCATAATTAGGTCACAAAATGTTGAATCCTGTCCAATACAGTGTCTCGAAACAAACATGTCAGCACAACAAAAAAAAAAAAATTTGAATTATAGATGCAGATAACATCCTAAACCTGGACACAATAAAAAGTTAACACATCTAAAACAGATCAGCACAAACACAGACAATGTTTTTAATTCTATTAATATTTCTTTAATGTTTCTGATTAAATGAAGAAGATGGTTGAAACAACGTACTGCAGATACTTTTTGAATTAATTCTTCTTTCACTGGATTATATGCATACAACCAAAAAAAAAGGGAAATGTTCAGCAAGCTGGTGAACAGCTGGGATTATAATTTAACCATGCATTGCACTTGTTCTCAAAATGACCTGGGTGTATCCTCGTCACATTGCTTTAATGAGATAGGTGTGTGTCTCTCTCTCTTGGTGACACAAACAACATTGTAACTGTACACACGTACTTGAACAATAAGTGAAATGTGATGGTGCAGCACATTTAAATGAATGTTATAATTTTTTCCCTTTAGTCTTGCTTGTTGTGCTGCTTCCCAAATAAGATTTTTATATGAAACCACCTTGTTCATTTTTGTAATAATGTTAAACTACAATTCCTTTGGATGTGGAAAAACTGGTGTGTTACATTTGCTTTTCTTACCAGTCAGCTTCATTTTTTAGACCATTTTTCAAACCTATAGAGACTTAATGATGTTGAATGCTACAAAAAGTTGAAACTTCTGAAGGCGTCATAAGTAGATATTTCCTTTTTGCCTTTGGCAAAAAAAAAAGGCACACACTTGTTTTGAGTCATTAAATTAGACACAGTGATGTGTCCAGGTGTGTCTAAGGTATTGCATTCAGCTGCATCCCATGGAAACAAAGGTCATATCCTGCTCTTTTTAAGATGCCCTTGCATGTTTTCATTTGATTGATTTAGGATTGGAACAAACAGTAAATGGAAAATGTATGACTAGGCATGTCACAATAACAAATTTTGCTGGGCGATTAATTGTCTCAAACATTATTGCGATAAATGATAATATTGTTTGAAATTTGACAGTAATTATTCTCAAATTTAAGAAGAAATGCTGTTTAATATATTTCGAGTGTAGTACCTTTTTTGACCACCAGATGGTAGTATGAGACTGTTTGAACTGAAGGATGGATAGTGAGAGAGCAAGCAGCGTGTCTCTAAGATAAATGGGAGGGAGGCCCCTTGACGTGACATGGGTTGTCTTTTTTTTTCAGTTCAAAAAAATGGCGGATGCTCTGTTTGAGCACTTTAGCATAGCATTTTTCACACAAAGCTTTTAATTAAAAAAAAAAACAGTAAACAAGTTCATCATTCTCATGGAGCTTCGACAAGACAGAGTTTTTTTCCCCTGAGGTTGGCCTGTTAGCTTAGCTCGTAGCTTATCTTGTCAGCTTAGTTGCATTTAACGATCCAAAAACATGATTTTGGACGGTTAAAACTCATTTTAAAGAGAAAAGAGAAAGGGAGGGGTCAGTGCAAAGTACCGGAGCTGAGCTTTGTCTTCATTAGAAAGAGAGAGACGCGAAGAAACGATAAAGTCGATAAATGAAAATGAGGTTGATAACTTTCATTTATCATGCAATTAATTGATTTACAGTTTATCGTGACAGGCCCTATGTATGACAAAGAATGTCATAATGAAATACCTTTGGCTATCAAACTAACAACACTGGTTATGGAGCAGCTAACACAAGGTTGTGATTGCGTGTCTCTTACATAAGTGTCCTCCCCACACTCATTTGATACATATACATTCAAAATCCTGCACCTTAGAGTCAGAGGACACTGTCAGTCATTAAAGTAGTTTTTATCAGCCAGGATGAGCAAGAAAAGAACAGTTAATCTCTGCTCTGAGAGATTTTCCCGAGAACAGGAAGCATTGTGAAAAGTTGGGGAAACTGCTCTGTGTAGGTTTTAAAGTTTTCATCTGGGGCAAGTGCCAGTTCATTCCATTTGATCCGGGGTGGGAACAAAGAGCAGATTTGATGAGAGACACAAGGTGGCTTCTCTTCCTACTGAGTTTATTTTAACAACTTTTTAATATAACCTCCCAAATTCACATTTGCTGCCAAATCCAGTGAAATCAAACTCTTACAACATAATCCAATCAGGCAGGTGGATCAAATTCACTGTTTCCATTTAATCCACAGAGGAGACACCTGTATGTCAGAAGGAAAAATGACTTGACAGAAAGAATATTCTAAAATAATTGTTTCATACTTTCAAAGACGAGGGTTTGCATAAACTCAGTAACTGGAAGGCTGCACTAAAAGCCCATGTTTGATCATTTGAAATGTTCTGTGTATTTTAATTATGGTAAAAAGGAAGTTTCCCTTCTTACACGTAAGAGTTGGCAAACTTCATTTTTAGAGAAGAGCATGAGTTGAATGCTCAAACATAATTTTTGCTTCAATGATGCTGATGACATTAATTTATTCACACATTCATTAATTTTCTCATGTTAAGGGTTGCAGGGAACAAGCAGCGGTCGACTGCTGTCTGTCCAGCCGTCAACGAGTGAGAAGAGATTATTAGTCCATCACAAAGCCAACAGCACACTGGCATGGACGAGTATTATTATAGATTTTAACACTGATTTTTTTAACGCTTTAAAACAGTAATCAGTACATGCTCACAGCACATAAATTCACTCATTAAAAAATTATATTTCTCTTTAATTCCCCAGCAGGAAGACAAAGCATTTTTCTGATACAGAGCAGAAAACAGCAGTCATGTTATAACTGATGTTTCCTCATGTAAATATCTGTACAGTTCCTCTGCTGGTTTATTTGCATCACTTTTCATGGAGAACTAGAGACCTAAACTCAGAAATGCCCCAGGGAAAGAAAAAGCATTAGGTCTTCACTTGCGTCGTGGCTCTAATTCCTTCAAAAAATTCCTCTTAGGGATCTCCAAGCACTCTATAATAAACAAAAGAACCTTTCTAAAAGCTCACAGACATATTTGACCCAGTTCTGAAGCAGCACGCTGTAAAACTGAACTAAGCAAAAGCCAAAGTAGATGAATCATACATAAAATAGCATAACAGACAAAAGAATACTAGACATTGTGCTATGTGCATATTGGTCTGTTTAGATCAAAACCACTGTTTTGTTGTTCGTATTTGAACTTTTGAAGACTGCACAGACTAAACTTAAAGGAAAGGAATATGTTCAAGTGAACTTAGGTGTTGAACTTAAACCACTCATATGTGACACAGCAGATGTTTTTGTATAGGCCAGCTAAAAGTTAATTCAAGAAACCTTAAAAACCTTTACTGTCCAAAATAAATGTTTTCTCCGCCTGTACATATTCCACTTATAGACATGCACATAATTTTGTGTTTTAGCATGGCTAAACCTATAACACAAACTGCACAAAGGCACAGCTATATCTAGATTTGTGTTAACGATTATACCAGAAGGAACCAAATTTCTGCTAAAGCAAGACCTTCTTTGTTTCAAACACTTGAAAGATAAATTGTAATGCAATGCAGTATTTTTACAAACACTTGTTCTATGACTGACAGCAGCCAGTCAAGTTTGCACTGTGTCAGCAAAAATGATCCCTTTATCACCTTAATGCATATCAGGTCTATTCAAAACAGATTAATAAAACACTTCAAGCAAATGTGTGAACATTTTTAAGAATATAAAACTCTCCAGTGTGATAATATTTAGCCAGAACTTAGCCCCTGGCCTAATCCAGACAAGCAACACAGACATAAAATGCTAAGACATTACCCTTCAACTGTAACCACACCCTTATAAAGCCTTATCCATATTAATTCATTCCAACAGATAAATACTACATTATGGATGAGGTTTGGTCTCAGTAAAGACTGCAGGTGCACACTCCCTTGGTTCAGATTATACCCCTGATAAATGATTCATTGCGCCTCATTACCAGACCAGGGGACATGTTATTACATCCGAGCCTACTTGTTGCTGCAACTAATGTGCTGCTCATCCGGGACACACTGTAGGATTGAATGTCTGTGGTATCAGAGCCTTAATGCACGATCCTTCATGGAACACAAACACATTCCTTCACAGGCACTGACAGATGATTAAATAAGACATTAGCAAAAATGTTATTTTACGCTCTTTAGATCCTTGATACAAGAAACTGTGTTGCAAATTTTAAAATACTGCCACTGCAGTGAGAACAATTTATTTTAAAAGTAAAGAAATTGATCTCACCATGTGTGCTGAGGAGAAAGGATGACGCCTCAGGAGAGTTGGCGGGGGATTTCCGCAGGTAAACTCTCAGGCAGGTCATCTTGTAGAGAGCATGTTAGCTGCTTCTGCAAGTGACTCCGTTTCAGCTGCAATAAAGAGGTGAAAGAAACTTGATGCCTGTTTGTGCATGTCAGAGTGGGAACTGCATACAGGTAAAAGACAGAAGGGAAAAAAACACATAGAGATATATACTGCCCACAAAAACTATTATGTACGTAAAATGTTTGCATTTATGTGGAAGATTTTTACGATTACATTTAAAGATTGTCAGCTCAGCCTTAACTTTAGGAGTTTTGGTTCTTTTTGTTTGTTTTCCTGTTGACTGCTAATTAAGCCACCTTGGGTTAGCAGATTTGCATTTGAGCTTTATTTTGAAGCTGACCAAAGTGTTATTACGGTGGCCCTAAGGTGTAAACGAACAACATTTGAAAAAAAACGGAATTACATTTGAAAAAAACACAACAGAAACACAACAACAATGGAAAAAATAAACAAATTACATTTGAAAAAAAAAACAGAATTACATTAAGCCCAGCTGGAAGTGGTGGGGTTTTTTTTGTGTGTGTTCTGGTGAAGATTTTCAGTTATCCAGGACATGAGAATATAAATTTTGTTTAAAAAGTTCAATACAAAAACAAATAAAGTCCAGTTGTTTTTGTATTGAACTTTTTTTTTTTTTTTTTTTGTGTGTATTTTTATTTTATTTTATTGACAACATAAAACTGAACAACAGAACAATGTACAGTACACACAATAAAGTTATTTATATATATATTTATATATATATATATATATATACACACACACAGGTATATATATACATAAATAAAATACCACTTCCGCTTTGGTTTAATGCAATTCCGTTTTTTTCAAATGTTCATTTACACCTAAGGGCCACTGTATGTTATGGAGACATTCAGTGTCTTGTTTAACACTTTGCTTGTCTAGTGTAAAAAAAAGAAGCTCTGCAACCATTTTTTTTACCCTTTTTATGTGAAGCAAAGTTAACTTAGAAAAACATTTGTATTTGTAGCTTTTTAAATCCGTTTTGATAGCTTCAAGAACTCAAAAGTATTTCAAGATCTCCTTACATTTAACAATTTTCATTTCATTACATTTGAAAATGTTTGGCAAGTGTACAGATGATGCCTAAATATTTAAATCAGCAAGTAATGAAATCAAAGCCAAAGCTGACATTAAAGCAAACAAAGACATACTAAAACAAGTGTTAATACGCAGATTAAATAATCCGTAAATGTGTATAAAATACAATCCAATACTGTGTTTGTATGGCAATAATCCAGATTACTTTTACACCAGGGTTTAACACACCTCTGGGTGAAATGTGGCACAACAATAATTTCTGCAGCACATTGTGTGGACGTCTTGCCCAGCAGCAGTGTACCAGTAACCCAGAGATGAACCTTCAGATTTAATCCTGATTACCATCTGACCTGCTTACCAAGAAGGCACCCAAATTGAGCTTTATTTAAAAGCTAAAAAACATCAAATCTGATGGATTTCCTAATGCTTAGTACATGCTAATTCAACACAGCAATTCTTGTTCACACGCAATGCTCACAACCAGAAACATCCTCCAAGAGACTATTTTGGGAAATAATCATATCTCCTGCCTCCTGTCCCTTTCTCAGGACTTGAAAACTCAAGATCGTTTTCTCTTTTCCTCTCATGCTAACCTCCCTGAACGAAAAGTCCTGATTCATTGAGTCCTTATCGGTTACAAGGAAAAGAAAACAAAAGAGTTCTCCGAAACTCCTACATAGCTTCCCCAAGGGGAAGCAGAACGGGACTTCCACATGCCACGCATTCACAAAAAGTATCTGGTTAAAGACATTAATGTCACAGTTCATAACAAACATGAAAACAAAATAAAAGAAACTCAATCTCTACAAGTCCAGTTTGTCAAAACAATTTGAACATGCTTGATATAAAAAAAAAACATTTTGAGTGCTGAGTACTTACAGTAGTATCTGATCAATATACGACTTAACATAGTAAAGTTTTAAATAAAATAGAGTATTTGGTGTTCCAGCAACAAAAGCAACACAGCTGTCAAATCTTAATAATGTATCAGTCAATACTTTTGGGAGCTTCTAATTTTCCCAATAGTAGGTTACAGGAAAGATAAGGTTGATAAAGAGAAACCATTAGGAGAGGGCAAGTGACACTGGAGGAACAAACAGGCTGCAGGAAGACAGTTAAGATCAAAAAGATAAGTGGGCAAGAATGGAACAAGTTCATTGGAATGATAAATCTTCAACTGGCTTAAATAAAGATTGGGAATGCATGCGCAGTTTTGACTTGGGGGGGTGGTGGGAGGGACAACAGGGACACAGCCCATGGTCTCCACAGCGCTAACTTAGGCTTCTTATTCAGTCCTGCCAAGCTCTGTAAGATAAAAGTCAACAGTGCACTTGCAACAATGAAACAAAATGAGGCAACAAAAAAAAATTCTAGAAAATATTGCAAAACAATTATGGAATGACAAATAGAAAATAAAGTTATTTAAACACTAAATAAAGTTATCCAAAAAGAGACAAATTACAACTATTGATGGGTCACATCCCAAATAAATTACATTAAGAATTTTATAAATTGTAACATCTTTATGTGTAAATTTAGCTTTACTGTAGTACAATGGCGCAACCTAGTGGTGTTGGTGCAAACTGCAGTGTCTGTGCAATCACCAAACTGCACAGAAACTTGTTTACTGTGGGAAAGCATCCCTCAAAAAGAATCATGTGTAAAGGAATAATTTATCAGGAAAATTGTAAAATATCAGTATAGAACAATGATGGTTGAGGTAGCAGCTTCACAACTCTGCAGCTCTATTGAAATAACCACTCCACCTCTATATTTGTCGATTTGATCTATACATGACAACTGAAGGTAATTATTGTCACAGAATATGTGTAAGCGTGGATGCAAACACACGAGGAAGGCTCAAGAGCTAAACTAACCACTTAAATACCTAAAGACAAGGCAAGCCATAAACACAAGACAAAATGCATGAAAGTGAACAGACAATATAATAATCAGCTGTGAAAAATAAAGGGGTCTAAGTCTTAGGGAGGATAAATACTGAGTGAAAACAGGTGTGTTGATTACTGACTAAAGAGCTGGGGAACTGAGGACACCCATGGGCTAAGATTCAACAAGTAAAATAAAATAACCAAATAAGTCTTTATAGCAATATCAGTATTTTGAAAATAATATGTTCATATGTTCTTGTGAACTTGTGCGGAGTATTGAAAAAATTAAACTTGTACTTGCATTTATTAAAGTGTTAAAATGTGTAAAAACTCTAACCTACCTTTTCACTCGAAGTGGTGAGACTTTTAAAGGCCACGGTTTTTTAGTAGGCTATCTCATTTGGTAGAATTGCTTTTCCTTAGCTCAGTTCACTATAATGACAAATCATTCTTCTTGTTAAAAGTTTAACTAATTAAATATTTGAAATATTTGCGCATGATAAATTAGGAACGTGTTTTTTTTGCTGCGTTCTGTGCCATGACAGCAACAGGATTGCTGCGCATGCGTCTACGAAACCATGACGAATACGTCCGAAACGTGTATAATTACGTAGTAATTTACGTACTTTTTTTACGTTGATCTTATTTTGGTTTACAGTAGAATATTTACGCTGGGGAGTCAAAGTCAAACTTTTCTTTGATTATAGCAAATGCTGAACGTAAGAGAGTTGTTAAATAATACTTGTTTTACCTAGTTGCTTTTGTTGACTTGTTCTCTTTTTACGCAAGAGAGGTAAGAGGAAGCGTCTCGCGTGGAACTAAAAAACGCTTAATACTTGCTGCCTTATGAGTTCTCCTTTCTGTAACCTTCACGCAGAAATATAGTGTTTTTCTTAAGTGTTTTACAATCGCTCTTTAACCTTGCATTTTTAAGAAAAAGCATGAGAACATTTACATCTGTATCGCTTTATGCTAAATGCTACATTTTGCGTAAGAGCTTCTGGGCATACCGTCTCTTCAACGTGCAATTAGTGCGTAACCTTTGTGTTTTCATCTGATCAGCGTTCAATGATTCATCATCACTGACACATCAGACATGATGAACAAAGAATAAAAGCAGGCGGATTTAACTACACCTGATTGCCATGGAGTTTCTCCCAGTGTTACACCCATCAGACAAACCTAAAGAAGGAATTTGGTGAGTTTACTAAGACTTAATAACTGCCTTTTTACATTCAACTTGGTAATAATGTTGTATTGTGTTGTTGACAGGTATTCTTTAGTACCCAGAGGAAGTACTCCAGGTGTTTGCGTAGGTCATACCTGCATGTTTATTCCCTCTGAAGATGGAGGAAAAGGAAGAATCCTGATTGTTGGGGGAGCCAATCCCAGTGGCAGTTTCTCAGATTCCTATATTATCAATTTAGGTTAAAAAAAATAAAAAAAACAGCAATCACAACCATATATCAGTAAAACATGTGCTGTTTACAATTGTTGCTTCAAACATGTTTGTCACTTTTTACCAGATAACCATGAGTGGGACATTTCAGAGTGGAAAGGTTTGGAGGCCCGATACGAACACTGTAGCTTTGTGCCAGAGAGCAGCCCACAGAGCCTTTGGGTGTTTGGTGGAGCACAGATGACCGGCAATCGCAACTGTGTCCAGAAAATAGAGCTTTCTGGTAAATCTCACCTGGAATTTCCTTTGTAATCTGCAGTTTTGTGTGCTCCTCATAAAGCTACATTTTTACTATGTACCACTGTGTAACCATAGATAGTGTTTGTACAGTAATTGCAGATTTAAGTTAATACCATCCATTCTGTACATTTTGGGGCCAGACAGTGAGCCTTGCTGGAAGAGTGTAATAACAAAAGGAGAACCCCCAAGCCCTAGGACATACCATACCAACTCAGCCTGCATTGGGGACAAACTGTTTGTCTTTTCTGGTGGAGAAGCGGGTGCTGCTCCTGTCTCAGATGTCAAACTCCACATCTTTGACACAGGTTAGGATGGAACGAGCCAGCTGATGAACAAAATCATAACAACTAGTGCATGACACTGCAATTAATTTTATTACACTTTGACTTCAAGTATGCACTTTATTTAAAAGGTTACAGTTCCTAATGTTTTAATTAGGTTTTACTTTAAATCTATTAGGATTTAATGAACAGCTGCTAACGCTTTAATTAGCGTTTCAGTAACTCACCTTTTAATGTGGTTGCATATGCAAGACCAGGCTAATCTGCTTGTTCACTCTTTTTATTAATAGCTAATGTTTAATTGCTTTATACATTTATTTTTATAACTTCTCCAATTCTAATTCAGTAGGAAAACACCTGTAGCAAGATTCTTGCATATATGCAAATGTATTCTTTTCACATGCATGAATATAAATGTTCATGTTCGACACTTGCATGTGTTGGATTTGAGCTGCTTAAAAGATTAAGCTTTTATTTCTCTTAACAGTTAACGAGTATCTGTGTTGTGTGTAATTGTGTTTCAGTATCTTCCACTTGGTCCCAGCCAGAAACTCAAGGCAGGCAGCCACGAGCCAGGCACGGACACGTTATCGCTGCAGTTGGCTCAAAGATTTACATTCATGGAGGCATGGCTGGAGAGAAGTTTTACAACAATTTGTACTCTCTGGACTCAAGTAAATCCTTCTAAATGGTAAAAATTAGTTATTGGGATGCTTAATTTGTCTAAAAATATACATTAATCTGTTTAAAAGGAAACATGACGTGGGAGAAAGTACAGACCAGAGGAGATGTACCACCAGGAGTAGCAGCCCATTCAGCTGTGGTGCTGGGCACACATCTGTACACGTTTGGAGGAATGACTGCAGATGGTGCCATGAACTGCATGTACAGATTTAACACTGGTAAGTACCCTTGAAAAAGGCGATTTGTAGTTTATGCTTACAGCTAAATAGTTTTCACAATTATTTTTTTTTTCTGTGCTTGCAGAGAAAAACAGATGGACCCTACTAAAATTTGACGGGGATATGCCACCAAACCGTTTGGACCACTCCATGTGTCTAGTGCCGTGGCAGCTGTGTGAGGGAGTTGGAGATGAGAAGCAGACGAACAGCTCAACCTCTGTAGAAACCATGAATCTGGCTTTTATATTTGGAGGAATGGACACACAGGGTGTCATCCATAATGACTGTGTTGTAACTATTGTGAAATGAATAAAATGTTTTCTCCATGAACTGTAAAAAGCTGAAATATTTCATTCGGAGGCAGTGACAAAGTACATTAATTTACTAAATGTGTGAAAATTAAAATACATGACAGGCAAAGTAAGTTTGTATCAAACATTTATTTCAGCGTCTTTCCAGAAGTACAAGGATTTGACAATAAATATTTTTTTGAACTTTGCCTGTGGACACAGCCCTAGTCCCAGACACCCAACTGAATGAACGCTCAAATACTTGCCCGCCCACCCACCCACCCACCCACCCCATTGAGTCCTCCCTCCCTTCACACAACCCCCATCAGGACTGCCTGAGAACAGCAGCAACGAGCCTCATCTGGGCTGACAAATCTCCGCCTTCAAGCGAAGAGAACACGTACCACACTGAAATTTTAGTCTTTCAAGGAGTTCAGTATGGTTGCTTGTTGTGATCGCCCCTGCCCTGCCGTTCCTCTCACTAATGAGTCCCATCAGTTCATTATGTACATGACATCCCACTAGAGCAAGGGGCAACTGAAGACTTCAGACCTGCCTACAACTCATCCTTTTCTTGATCGCCATCAGCACCCTCAGGTGGAGGTCCACCTGCACTACCATACAGCTTGCTAATGATGGGCTGAACAACCTCTTCCAGCTCCTTTTTCTTGGCCTGGAACTCTTCAAGATCAGCATCTTGATGCGACTCCATCCACTCGATCTTCTCCTCTACTGCCTTCTCAATGGCCTCCTTGTCTTCATCCGATAGTTTGCCGCCAAGCTTCTCCTTGTCACCGATCTGGTTCTTCAGAGAGTAGGCGTAGCTCTCCAGCTCGTTGCGAGCATCAATTCTCTCCTTCAGCTTTTTGTCTTCGTCAGCAAAGCGCTCGGCGTCGTTCACCATGCGCTCGATGTCTTCCGGCGTCAGACGGTTCTGGTCGTTTGTAATTGTGATCTTGTTCTTGTTGCCAGTGCCTTTGTCCTCTGCAGTGACGCGCAAAATGCCGTTTACGTCGATCTCGAAGGTGACTTCGATCTGTGGAACGCCACGAGGGGCAGGGGGGATCCCAGTCAGGTCGAAGGTGCCCAGCAGATGGTTGTCTTTGGTCAGAGGACGCTCACCTACAACGGAGTGCAGAGTTGAGTTTGTGCAACATTTGAATTTACACAGAAAAATAATAATTTAATGTGGTGTGGCAACTTTACAGTGCAATATCCAATTCTTACCTTCATAAACTTTAATGGTGACAGTTGGCTGGTTATCTGAAGCTGTGGAGAAGATCTGGGATTTCTTTGTTGGCACCACAGTGTTCCTGGGAATCAGTTTGGTCATTACGCCTCCAACAGTTTCAATACCAAGAGTCAGTGGGCAAACATCCAGAAGAACCACATCACCTGAAATAGTTTAAGAAACAATTAAATCAAAAATACCAATTTCAAGCTCAATAATGTAGTTATTAATGTAATAGTGCAGTCATTTACCAGTGTCCTCCTCTCCAGAAAGCACTCCAGCCTGCACAGCAGCACCGTATGCCACAGCTTCATCAGGATTGATGCCCCTGGAGGGTTCTTTGCCATTGAAGAACTCCTTCACCAGCTGCTGGATTTTAGGGATACGAGTAGAGCCTCCAACCAGGACAATCTCATCAATGTCAGACTTTTTCAGGTCAGAATCTTCCAGCACCTTCTGTACAGGCTTCATGGTGTTACGGAACAGATCCTGGATTTGAGAAAAAAAAAAAAATGGATCAGAATGCTTGCAAGACAATTACCACAAAACCTGGTTTTGCACCAAAGTAACATTTGATAAAAAAATTAAAAAAATAAAATAAAAAAAATAGCAGAATTTACCATGTTCAGTTCCTCAAATTTGGCACGGGTCAGGGTCTCAGAGAAGTCTTCCCCCTCAAAGAAAGACTCTATCTCAATACGAGCCTGGTGCTGGGCAGACAGAGCTCTCTTGGCCTTCTCCACCTCACGACGCAGCTTCTGCACAGCACGATTGTCTTTGCGCACATCTTTGCCGGTCTTCTTCTTGTACAGCTTGATGAAGTGATCCATGACACGCTGGTCAAAGTCTTCACCTCCCAGATGGGTATCACCATTGGTAGCCACCACTTCAAACACACCGTTATCAATGGTCAGGAGAGAGACGTCAAAGGTGCCGCCACCCAGATCGAACACAAGGATGTTCTTCTCGCCATCCTTCTTGTCAAGGCCATAAGCAATGGCAGCGGCAGTTCTAAATAAAAAAATTAATAATATAAAATCATCAATTAGGGACTGAATTTATAGAAGAATGTTCCTCATTTCACATGACTAAACATGGTTTGTTTGATGCTTACGGCTCATTGATGATTCTCATGACATTCAAACCAGCAATGGTTCCAGCATCCTTAGTGGCCTGGCGCTGAGCATCATTAAAGTAGGCAGGGACAGTGACCACAGCATTTGTAATCTAGAAAGAAATGCAGAAGTTTGAGTCTCACATTTGTAACAAAGCTAGTCTTTGATTTACAGTACATGCCATTTGAAGGTTTTATACCTTCTTGCCCAGGTAAGCCTCAGCGGTCTCCTTCATCTTGGTCAGGACCATGGCAGAGATCTCTTCCGGAGCAAAGGTTTTCATCTGGCCACCGCCAATATCAACCTGGATATGGGGCTTGGTCTTCTTCTCAAGAACCTAAGGATATATGAACAGAGCATTTATTAAACAGAGCCTAAAAAAAATGTTTAAATTAAAATCCCAACTATAAACAACTGAAGTGTAGCAACTCACCTTGAAGGGCAGGTACTTGATATCCTGCTGCACAGAGGAGTCCCCCCAGGTCCGGCCAATCAGCCTTTTGGCATCGAAGACTGTGTTCTCAGGGTTAGAGGTCAACTGATTCTTAGCAGCATCACCGATCAGACGCTCACCCTCACTGGTGAAGGCCACATATGAAGGAGTGATGCGGTTACCCTGGTCATTGGCAATGATCTCCACACGGCCATTCTTGAAGACTCCAACACTAAAAAAGGAAAACTTTTTTTTAATTTAAATACCCTTTGAATAGCATACCATCTCAAAAATACACAAGTTCATTGTGCTTTGAAAATATAAAAACTGCAGTATATTTCTTACCATGAGTAGGTGGTCCCCAAGTCAATTCCAATCACGGTTCCCACGTTCTCCTTCTTGTCGTCCTCATCCGCATATACGGTGCCGACCACAAGCATTACAACCCACAGCAGCTTCATATTTGCTTTCATTTGCTCCAAATAAGAGAAAACCTACAACAAAACAACAAACGTGTGAAAATCACCCTAATGTATGCAGCTTATAAGATGTCATTCATTGCTGAGCCTCTAGACTCGTGGTAGACAGGAAACGTGGCCATCGACAATGAATCTAAAAAAAAAATTAAATAAATAAAAACTTAAAAAATCATATATTTGGAGAAATTGGGATACTCTCGCTCAGTTACTACCAACATTATTTATTAATATGTAGCATTATGTTAACCACGCGGGGAAAAAAAAAAAAAAAAAGTCTCGTGATTAAAAAAAAAAAAAAAGTAACGCCAAGTAGCCCGTTATTTCTACTTTATAACACAATTCCTAAATATTTCTAGTACTTGCTTATAGCAATGGTAGCCGAAATGTAAAAGGTTAGCTTAATTCAAACCGTTAAGCCTAACTTGCAAGGCAAAAAAAAAAAAAGCAGATTGCTGTATTATCATATTCACTACATTTAGTTTACGTACCTTAGTGAAGTAAATCCAAGAAGTGTCTTAACGATGTACTAAATAGGCCAAATTAACCTGAACGAGTTGTATTTCCCGATTATCTTCTCTTTATTCGTGCCTGCGTTGAATGGTGCTGAATGAATCGTCTGCTCCCCATATATAAGACGTGATGGCTTCCCTGTCGTGGAGGCCTACGATTGGCTGAAACGCTGCCCGTTGGAACGCTCTGATTGGTCACCTGCAGCACGCTGGCCGCCGCTGATTTGCACACATCGGTTTCAGTCGACGTCACTATCTTGGAGCTGCTGTGCCGGAAGCTGATTGGCTGTCTGTCAATGAGACTCAGGAACGCAGTTGGTGTTGCGACATGCCACTCTTACGAATGGCGACTTTCATTGTCATACAGTTTGAAGTTTGTGATCCATTCGTTTCTATTCTGCATTCCTAATAATAAAAATATACAACATTTTGTCACAATATGATGATGGATGATTATGTAGATGTTGTAATAGTGCTATGTTTATTAATGATGACTTGCTTAATGAGTAATAATCGTCCAAACCCTGATATTATTGTGGCTAAACATAAATGTTACTTCAGATGAGGTACATTGCCAGTACATTTCATCAGACAACATACAACTAAATCTGTTGATTTGTCATACAGTATATGTGTTCAATTCAATTCAGTTTATTTATATAGCGCCAAATCACAACAAAATTGTCTCAGGGCACTTTACAGGAACGTTCACATACATAAAAGCCAATTAGTAAAGTTCTCTATCTAAGGAATCCAGCAGGCACGTTGAATCTTGGCTTCGTTGCAGTCTCCCATCCTGAGCAAGCACAGTGGCAACAGTGGAAAGGAAAAACTCCCTTTTAAAAGGAAGAAACCTCCAGGAGAACCAGGCTCAGGACAAGTGTCCATCTGCTTTGACCGGCTGGTTTGAGAGGACATGAAGGAGAGACAGACGAACATAGAATGAAGGGTCCAGGTGTATCTGAAAGACAAAAAAATACCACATGTTAAGGATATAAGGATGTTAAATGCACCCATTCAGTATTTTAGATGTAATATTCCATCATAAACACACTTTAACCAACGTATTAAACATATAATCACCCACTGAATATCCATTCTAACATTTTTGACACTGGATTACACATAAGCATGTTTTAGTGATGTAACAGTGCGGTCTATAGAGTAAAGTATACAAGTCATAAACTCAGATTTTATTGTGCTTGTAAAATAGATTTTTAAAACTAAAATAAACTGTAAATATATATTATTCCACTCTTACAAAAACAAGTGCAATTAAGTGATCAAATATGTTTCCCTCACTTAATTTAATACTACCTTCTAGAACATTCATGAAAAAATGCCTTTGTGTGGGAAAAGGGTATTTTGGGATATTTCTGGAAAGCTCTAGAAAGAAGTTTTTTTTTTTTAAAGTATAACATATATATCCATGTATTTGGTTGTACAGGTCTGTAACTGTAAATAAAAAGCCACAAATTACATTTTTCACACCAGCATTGGTTTTAAGGTTTACAATGACATGGTTTCTATGATTTGTTTTTGCGAACACAATATCCCTTGAACTTAGCTGACAAATATAATGTTTTAACATTTTTTCCCACCAAATTACCAAAAGTGTATTATTAGTTATTTTTTCGTTTATGACTAAGTTTTGTAAAATTTGGCTTATGAAGATTAATATTTGAAAGTGAAAGAGATATTTAATTTTATGAAGTGACATGTTTAGCTAATGTTGACACAAAAACAAAAAAACTAATATTCTGACATTTCTCATCATTCAAACGTTATATGAATATTTTGAGATTCATTCAAGTAAATGTCACACATCTTTTAAGTTAACAAAATAAATAAATAAGCAAATATATCAAATAAATAAAATGTTGTCTATGGCTTGTTTATTGTCTAAATGTTTAGGATCTGCAGTGTTTTGGGTTACAAATAAAGCCAGTGCATTTATTATTTATTATGCAAAGATTGTTGTGTTATTTGTTCTTATGTTATTTAGTTTAACAAGAAATATAAATAACTAGGTCAATAGAGTATAAGTCAAAAGATCAAATGCAAAACTGAGCATGTGTTTGACGAAGCTGTGAATTTCTACATCTCTTTCAACTTACACAAGGACATCATGCTAGCTTCATATGTTTAACTTTAACTCGGGCTGCTGTCTTATTCTGGAGGAAGTGAAACCAATTAGATACCAGAATGGCTTCATGCTACTGTCAGCTTTTGCAGTTTCTTACATTATAGTAAGAACCAAATATTGCTCTCAGTTTCAGATGGTTTTATTATAATACTTATTTTAGTCTCCTTTACAACAAGGGTCACATGGATAGACTTGTGTTTTAGTAATAAGCCACAGTAATGTGAAACGGTAAAGGCCTGAAAGCTTAATTAAAAATATCACAAGTATGAATACCAAAATGTTTCTCTGTTCTTTTTTCTTTTTCAATTGGTTCTAGGACACATATTTTACTCAACACAGAACTATTAACTTTTTTAAAGTTTCAAAAATTGTATAAAATAAACCTTGACAAAGAAACTTAAAAGACAGTCATGGTAATTTATTTTGAAAACAGATACAATAACACTCATTCATTCATTCATTCATTCAACCTTTATTTATACAGGTTAATCCCACTGAGCCTCGCAGACTCATTCACCAGAGAGACCTGATTTTAACAAAGAGTGATGACAACAGTAGACAACAAAGACAACAATAGACAATCATAAAATGAAGCGTACAAATTGAGAAGAACAAGTATGTGATAAAAACAAACATAAAAAAAACAGCTATGTTGTAAGGAACCATGTCTGCATCGGTTTTTGCCAGGAACACAATGTTGATTACATATTAAAATAAACAGTTACAATCAACTATGTAATCTAAAGAGCAATAATAGAGTAAATAAACTTAAACTATAAGTCTTATACGTTTTGTATTCTTCCATTTCAGTGATTTATTTCACTTGTTTATTTATTTATTTTGTGTTCTGGTGTTAGCGCCCCCTGTCGACAGAAGGCCTTTTAACACCAGACTGATGACTTGCGCAAGTTATCCTAACTGTATTAATAGTAACGGCAAATATCAGATTATAAAGTAATATTAACGTAATATACCTAAAATGTATTCCTTGTTTACATTTTTATCGCTTACATGTAAAGGGGAAAAAAATATTGTTTCTTTCTGTAAATCTTGGGCTCCTGAACAATATATCCCCGCCTAGGGTAGCGCCCCCTGCCGACCGTAAGGCCAATTAGCACCAGACTGATGACGTGGTTCGGTCGGTTGACCAGAGTAGCAGGATGGCCGACCAGAGTAGGCAAATTAAACTCGCTGCAGCTAAGAAAAAGGTAAAGTATTTTACACTTGACCTGGCTAAATCTTTCTCTACGACAACTGTCAAAGCTTATTTTACCTGTGTTCGTTGTCGTTGTTTTGGTATAGTTGTTGACTTAGCGGGTGTGTTGTCATTACACGTCCTCCGACCTCTGCGCTGTCGCTTGTCCCGCCTCTCGTGCTAATGCGGTGCCTTATCGCGCAGGAAAGACCGGTGCTTCTTGTGGGCCTCTATTAGCTCACCTGCTAACGAATAGTTGGCTACGTGTGAGTGGAAAGAATGTCATAAGGAAGCCAGACAGCTTTTTAGCTTGTTGCAAAAAATCATTAACTTTTGAGAATGTCTTATAAATAACGTTTGTACATATAAAAGGAAAATAAACATAACAGTCAAATTAGCATTGTAGCTCAGTTAGAGGATAGAATGACGGCAACTGTTTTGACAGCTGACACCCCTCTTCCCTGCCCAACCTGGTTCTTTGGCTAGATATGTTTTTGAAGCTTATGCGTTTGCTTCAAGAAATTACTCATGCATTTTTCTGCGCTTCGATAATGTCTTGGATGAGCGATCTTGATGTTTTTCTGTGATTCAAGCAGTATTTTGAAAATGCTCTGTTCCTCTAAAACAGCTGTCGGAAGTAGGCCCCATTTGTACGTTTTTTCACCTTGATTAGTTTAAATTATACTCTCCCAGTCTTGTATACAATTCCCGAGTCATTTATTTCTTACTAGTTTGTTTTAAAGATCCCGGATATTTAAGCTTGTTGAAGGTTTGTTTTTCAATATATTTCACTGGACATTAGTTGCGTTTCACTCATTTCAGTGCAATACTACTGTAGATCTTTTTATGCATTTATTTTGTATTTACCTACATACCAATTATCTATGCATCTTTCAAGCTTAAAATACTTTGAAACCAGTGTGGTATCCAGGCATAGCTATTTTTTTCTGAAAAGGGGAGCAGTACCGGTATTTACCTTCAGGTCAGACAAAAGACAACATTAGAAACTTGTTCTAAGCAATTTCTGTAGTTGACAGCAGGGAACAATTTTAGTAGTATAAATTATTTTAATCTTAAGTTTCCTGAAGCTGCCTTTATTCATTCATTCAACCTTTATTTACTGGTAATCTCCTTGTGATTTAATCACATTTCATCACATGCCTTTATTCACTACCGGGTATTTGTCTTCTAAAACATTAATGTATGTGTATTTGATTGCAAGTCTGGATTATAACATGTGGCAAAGATGCAACCTTTAAAGTTTGTGGACTTGGTAGGAAGAAGGCAAGTTAGAGCAGACACAGTAATTAACCTGGACTTTTGCTTTGGCCCTCACAAATCCTTCTCACAGTAAATTGTATTTGCAACATTATAATTGCAATTTGAGGCTATTGAAACCATGTTTTTTTGGTCAGTGTCACTGTCAATTTATTCATATAGTGCATAAAAACAACAAAAGCTGACCAAAGTGCTTTACAATTAAGTCAAATTAAAAGGAAAAAAAATGCATATTGTGGCACTCAGGAAACATAAAGTTAAAAATAAAATACAACACACAACTACAAGAAAAATCAGCTCTAACTTGTTGTCAGACTCTGCATGGATCAAATGACAAGGAAAACAGTTGAGTCTTGAGCAAAGATTTAAAAGTCTCAGCAATCTTTAAATTATCAGGTAAACTGTTCCACAATTTAGGAGCAGCAACCGCAAAAGCCCGATCACCTCTGGACTTCGGTTTGGATCTGGGGACATCTAAGAGCAACTTAGACCAGATTGCTCTTACTGGAGTGTAGGTGTTAAGAGTGTTTTTGTTAGGTTATTTAAAAAGATCTGCCATATTTGTAAATTAAAACTCTGAAATTGTTCTAAAAAGGGTGCACGTCAAACATGCATCGTGTGTACCCTTGGAGTTACAAAACACCAGAAAAGTGGAAGAAAAAAAAAACACATTGGTAAATGAAACATGCACAGTATTGTTTGCCATTTCAAACATGCAATAGCCTCTTTGTTTCCTCTGTTTCACATGTATTGTTCAGCTGAAGGAGTTTCAGCAGAAGAGCTCCCCTGCTTCTATAGGAGGAGAAAAGGGTGGAGGAGTAAGTGGAGTAGGATCCAAGAAGAAGAGAAAAGTGAAGGAACTCGGCCATACAGATGCACCTTCATCTGACAGAGATTCTCCTGACAATGTAAGTCAGTCATAGGTTCTTTTTGGGTTTGGTCTTGGTGGTCAAACGTGTTTGTGTGCCTGACAGTCTGTCCACATTCTGGTTGTGCTCCATCAAATCAAGTCTTTAAAACAATAATGTTGTCTTGGTTATGACATGAAGCATGTCACATTTCTTTCCATGAAAGCAATATTCTTCACTGTGATCTTTGACAATAGCAACATTAACTATTCATCATTTTTCTCTTTACATTTTTCAATTTCGAGCTGCAGGAAAGCTGGTGCTTATCTCCAGCAGTCACTGTGCAAGAAGGCAGGATACATCCTGCACAGATTGCAAGTCCATTACAGGACCACATAGAGACAAATGAGACGAGCATTCACACTCTCACTCACACCAAGGGACAGTTTAGAGATAACATGCACATTTTTGGTCTGAGGGAAAACCGAGACCTGGAGAAAATCCACATATGTCTGGAGAAAACATGCTAACTTCATTCAGAAAAGCCAGTAGGCAAACCTACGACCTTCTCACTGTGAGGCGACAACTCTTAACAACTGCGCCGCCATGCCGCCCAACATTTATATGACAGCAAATGATTAGAATTAGAACAGACTGGTAATAAGACCAGTGATTTATTGTTGATGCTCATAATTCTCAGAAAAACAATGGCATAAAATATGTTTAAAATATGGGCTGCCATTAACAGTCACATGATGTGAGCTCCTTATAGTTACCTTTTTAACTACTGGTACCAGTACTTGTTACATCTGTCACACATCAATAAAAACTGTGTATTGAAGCACCCAATGTGTACGTGTACAGCTTTCAAACAGCTCATGCACGTAACTTGGCTCTGCTTGATGACATCTGACCTGCATTTAGACCCATTCTTTAGACAGCTGTTGCTGTCCGTTGCTTCTCACTACAACAATTATTGTGACTTCAGTCTGCAACAGAATATTTTTACTATTATACTGAATTGGCTTTATCACCTAAAAGAAGCATTTCTACTATAATAATGCATATGTTTGCTTTAGGTTTTACATTTGTGAAACGATCTCAAATTATTTTTCTTTTTTACTTTCTATCCTAAAGAGTATTTTCTTTTTCACCACATCTTTTTCACCACTGACATGTAAACTTTTCTCCCTGTATTTCTTTCTTTATGGCTTCCTTTTACATACTTTTTTCCTCCCTTTTTTTAGCCAGTCATTTCAGTGACATTTAAATTTGGTTTCTTTCAGTTTATTGTTAGAAGAGTCAATGCCACTTTACCATTAAAGTATTTGTAAATATATACTGAGCTCCAAGAGTGAAATTTTAATTTTCTACAACTATGATTTGCATGATTTTTTTTTCCATTCTACGTTACTCAGTTAAATAAAAAATCTAATTGTCTATGTAGAGCTGAGTCTTTAGCTCTTTAAGTGAAGACTACCTTAATCTAATTTCATTCAGCTTCAGTTTTTTTACCTTTTTATTTCTTTGCACGCTCACTTTCCGACCTTGTCTGTGTGGGAGCTGCTTCTTTGTGTGTTTGTTTACCACTCTTTCTTTAAGTAAATTGCTCCCTGCCCTGTTTCATCTCTCTCTTAGTCTGTGTTTCTTTTTGCTGTAGTTTGACAGTATTCTGAAAGCACTTAGTCAAAGCAATGGAGTAGTCCTCCCACGTAATGGCAACTGTCAGGTGAGCTTCTCTCCCTCTTCTTCTGCTTAACTTTACCTTTTCATTTTCTTCACCCTTGCTGTAAATGGCAATTCTTTTTAATTTCCAAAGGTGTGCCGTTAATTTTTCTTACATCCATTTATCAATTTCTTTTCTCTCACATAGACCAGAAAGCTTGGGAAGAATTTAATTGCACCGCATACTCGGTGTGAATTTATTTTTCTGAGATATGCCTGTCTCATGTTAATCATTGTGAATGCATGGCATTTGCACAATCATGGGAGTTGCGTACCTGGGATGCGAGCTACTAAAAGAACAATGTGGTCATTTATTACAGAAAAAACAAGAATATTTGTGCTCATTTTTCAGCTGGTTCTGTTTGTGTTTGTTGATTTCTTTTATTTTCATTTATCTGCACTGCAGAAATAGTTATTTTGATTATTCTATGCATTTTCTTCACATTAAGATTAAAATATATCTTTCTCGCATCACTAAAGCTGGATTGTATACTAACAGTAGAGTTTCTTGAGTGCTTTGGCTTCATAAAAGTTTGTGAAACATATTGAGCACCAATAAAATAACTATCTTTATTACAGCTGCCATTAATAGTTACTTTATCATGTTTTAAGCTGTTTAATACTCATCTATTCATTACATTTTTTCTCTTTTTAGCCACATACTGTTATAGAGCAATCTAAACAAACTGTAAACTACATTATTGTATCACTCATCTTTACTGTACATGACATTTGTGCAAATGGCTACATATAGTATGCAGATTTACTGTGGTTTTTCTGTTGCTGCATTAAAACCATATGTGCATTTTTGTGTGTGTGACCTCAGAACTTTGCTGAGATGGAGGTTGTGGCATCTTCTGTTCCCTCGCTGCAGGAGGAGCCACGCATCGAGCCTGGCCTCAGCTCACCTGTGTCTAACCCCGCTAGTGCTAACACTGCTACTAACTCTGAGTTTGTCAGTCACAACACTGAGGTGCAGGTGCGTCTCTCTGTTTGTCTCTGCTTTTAAAACACGTGTTGTCTCTGTTTTATGTTAATCCATCGTGCTTATAGTCGTCATAGTAATCAAAGTGTTCATTTTTGCATTTTAATCAAAATTCAGAAGTATTACATATCCCTTTTGGGATGTCGTGTTGCATAAATTAAATTTAATCATGTTCTTACAAGCTTCCTTAACTATTGCACTCTTAACGTTTCTCTTTTTTATACAGGACCTCTCTGATACCAATGGCAATGAGAGTTTTAAGGAGCAAAATAGGTGTGTTATGTACTTTTTACTAAAACAATTCTATTCTTTGTCATGAGAGACATATTTTATTTATTTGTAGGAGTTGATGGTTAGCTAAAGAGCTAGCATTATCTGTCAAGGATTTATCTTGCTAGTGGTTTGACATTTGTTGCTTGTGCAGGCAATTATCACAGTGTCTTTATTTTGATTACAGCCGTTTTTACCATGTGTCAAACAAACAAAATAGGACATCTTAATGCCCTTTCACACTGCCTCAAGTTGAGACTACATTATTTTGCCTTTGCATGTCACTGTTCTGTGTATAAGGTCCGCCCAAAAAAAATCTGCAATTGTTTAAAGGGAATGCCATCACAAAGAATCAACAATACCAGTACTACAAATTTATTCATGTTATAATATAATCACTTTCTTTATGATATACTGGGATTCAGTGTTTCTCCTACAATTATCCCACCCTGGCCTCAGCTGTTAGTAGAACCGATCGCCCTACCTACACACACACACACACACACACACAAACAATCAAAATTGGACAGCTCTGCTTAGACCTAGTATTAGTAACGTAATGCTCCGTTCAACACCCACTCCTCCCCCAAGAGCTTAGGTGAGCGCCCTCCCAAGGCAAATAACCTACACTGAGCTGCGTTGTTTCACAATCTCTGTGTGATGGTGGAGCCTTTCAAATATTGTAACGTGTGTATTTTGCAGTAATTTTCTTGATACAATTCATCTTTTGCTCCACTATTTCATTCTGAAATTACCTATATTGATAGTCATAGTCTGAAATAGTTAATGATCTTTATATTTTGTGTATTCATTGTCTCTTCTGTACTGCAGACCACTGTCTTCCACAGAGAGCCTGCGACAACTCTCACAGCAGCTGAACGGCCTGGTCTCTGAGGTATGCTGTTACGCCCAACAGTGTCATCCTATGCCTCTATCTCTTTCACATTCCTTTTTGTTATACTGTGTTGAGCTTTCAGCAACAACACACCACCAATGCACACTTTTGAGCAGTGTGTGTTGCACCTATTGTTGGTAAGAATGCAAATGAAAGCATTTTCAGTATTGCCAATCCTTTTCAAATGACCTGACATTGACACCTTCAGCTGGTACATAAAACCAGCCTGATAAGCAATATTTACTCTGAACTTGGTTTGAATTTGCACAGTCAGAATTAAACTACAAAATGTTCTTTATGTCGGCTCTAAAATGTAACATATGTTTTAATACTTTTATCATTACTAGAAGGGTAGTGGTGGTGCAGAGGTTAGAGAAGGTGAGACTGTCATAAGTAGTTTGACTCCCTGGACTGACAATATCAAAATGTTGGTGGGAAAGGTGAAACACCCACACCTGTCTCCACCCTCATTTTCCCCACTCTGGACCTGTTAGCAAGGCCTTTAACCCCCACCATCTGCTCCCCTGGGCATCCTAGATGGCAGCTCTCTGCTCCACACAGAGGGCTGTGGTAGCTCGGTGGTCTGTGGTTGTGTCAGGAAGGGAATCTGGCGTAAAAATAATTGCCATGTCTTTGTGCGACTTAGTTTGCTGACTATGATTTTATAAATATATATAATCATTACTCGGGTACTGTTTTAATATATAATGATGAAATGCTGCTCATATTGCTGCTGAACTGTCTGCAATGCAACCAGTACATTTTTGCTTTTAGTTTCTATCACTAAGGTTTTTATCCAAGCCTTTTTTGTTGTTGTTGCTTTTTTACTAAAATTTCCTGCAAAGATAGTGAAGGACTGGACAAGGCTGCCACTGCAAGCCACATGTCAATTCCTTTCGTATAACTTTTTTCTTGTAAATTTTAAAAGTATAAATAGCTCCTAATTAAGTGTGTTAGAAGTATATAAACCAATGTCGTTGTCATTTCAGTCTTCAGCTGCGTACGTGAATGGAGAAAGTGCACCTTCTGTCAGTGAGAAAGAACTTGAGGTAAAAAGAAATAAAAAAAATCTGCATTCATATTTTTTCAGTGACCTATTTCTGATTTTTAAACCTGTGTTGTGACCTAGTTGTATCATTCTAGATTATTACAACTTCATTTGTTTCTCTGTAAAGTATCAGCCACCTACTTTGTGGCATATTTGATTTCCAGTACAATGGTGCCTTCACATGATAACGTTTATCATTTTATGATAGTGTTTAAAATGTGGGGTCAGTGTCAGATCAGTATCTTTATACTGTCTAGATTGGAATATTTTTTAGCATAGCTTTAAATTTTTTTAAATAATAAAATGCTTATTTAAATGGTGGATGTATGAAGTTTCATTTACCAAACTGAGTATGACAAGATTTTGTCATTTAAAAAAGAATCGTAAGAATCCTTGGAAAGCCTTAAAATAGTACAAGAAATACATACACAAAATACCATATGAAACATTCAAGATTTGCCATAAAGTATTGGTGGGGTGGGATTCCTGAGATCTGTTCTATTCAATATTTACCTGCTTTAAGAAATGCTCCTGGAGTCGTATGAGCAGTAAAAATAAACTTTGTTCCACAGAGATCTTTGTTGGACCTTTCTGAGTAATTTTAGTTACCACACTGATTATTTTAACAATAAATTGATGCATTTTTAAAACATGTTTGCGTATATGAATTTTGGGCACATTTTATTTAGCATAGTTTTTTAAGGCTCTTCTGTGTTTTGCTATTATTTTTAAAATCCATTATTTATTTTTATTTGCGTCACTTCTCATCATGAAACTTTTTTTTTTTACTACCATACTTGTAACAGTGCAATTATTTACCTCCGTGTTTTATGTCACATTTGAATTTTTATCTTCCGTGTTCTTTGTTTGACTTTGGCCACTGCACTTTATCCATGTCTTATTGTTTATTTCTTTTCATTTCCCGGATGCATGTGTGCACGTGATAGAGTCGGAACCAGGAGCTGGCAGCCGCCCTGGAATCTAGCAAGCTAACAAATTCTCAGCTCAATACCAAGCTAAACCAGCTGGTAAGAAGCTGTGTGAATGCATGTGTGTGTGTGTGTGTGTGTGTGTGTGTGTGTGCTCTGCTGTTGACACTTATTATTTGAGTCTGCCTATTTGTTGTATTGGACTTTGCATGCCATCATAGTCTGGATAACATTTTACATTTATTTGTTTCTCTCATTTTTGTCTACTGCTTGAGTTGATTTTAATCTACAAAGTATAGCCTCAGCATAAGCAGCCCTTCGGGGACACATTTTGACCAGGGATGTCATAATCTGTTTGCTTTGGCATGACTGTAAGGGCTTGTCAAGCCAGTTTAGCACAATAACCACTATGAACTCAGAGCTTTAAACAAACATGATTTACTACAGATGTTTATTATTTCTGTCCTCTGAACAGCATTGCATGCAGATGAAAATTTCAGAGTTTTTGGTGATGTTTCATTTGATAAAATTTAGTAACACTGATGGGATGAGAGGAAAAATGTGATTTATTTATTTATTTGTTTATTTTTCCCAAACCTAAATTTGTCATCTTTCTTTTTCGCAGGTACAACAAACTCAGGAACTTTCAGACCAAGTACAAAAGGTTTCAAGTTGTTGGGTTTTTTTGCTCTTTTTCAGCACATTTACTTCTATTTTCTTGTTTTAGTCTGTTAGACCTTCAGCTCCACCCTTTTTTATTTAGACACTGTGTTTTTCTGCCTTCAGGAGCGAAAGGAATTTGAACAGAAATTTACAAAAGAGCAAGGAGCCATGCGGGAACAGTTGCAGGTAAATTCTTGAGACTTTTTTTCTTATTTCTTATTTGATGGGACCTTTCAAATGTGTTTTCATAACGAGAAAAAAAAACTAGTAAAGAGTTTCACTATATTGTCACATAGTGTATCATTTTACAAGTGTGTGGTGTCGCTGTTTTATAAATGAAAAGAAGTCTGGTCCAGTTGTCAACTTCTCCATTCCCACTCTCCCTGTCCTAGTTTCCCACACAGTAAAAATCATGTTTGTGTTTTTTTCTATAATAATACTTTGTTTAGTTTAACTTGTGATGTAATTTAAGACTTGTAGTGGGATCAAATATCTATTCTCATGAAGAAATGCTCTCTGTGTTCACCTGTCCTCTCTTAAGGTTCATATTCAGACAATTGGTATACTGGTGTCAGAGAAATCTGAGCTACAAACTGCACTACAATACACACAACAAGCTGCACGACAGAAAACAGGTAAGTGTTTGTGTGTGTGTTTATTCTCCTTCCATTGCTTAGTTGTATGCTTATATGCATGCTGTGTGTTTATTTTCATTCTAACATTGCAGTTGAAGCAGAGGAGCTTAATAACCGTCTGCAAGCAACAAAGCAGAGGGTTTCAGAGCTGGAGCGAACTCTCTCTACTGTCTCAACACAGCAGAAACAGTTTGACAAGGTAACGTGCATTATAAAATGCACTAACAACCGATATGGATATATACAGATATATTGAATTTCCAATCCGCTGCATTCATGTAACAGAAATGGAGCACAAAAAGAAGCAGTTCTTTATTTATTTCAGTTTTTTTTTCCTGAAATGTCTTTTGTCATGTTAGCTGAGCGTTAGCAACAAATATATTGTTCTTTTTGTTTCTGCAGCTAAACAAAGAACTTGAAAAGGAAAGAGACAATTTGAGGGTAGAGATGTTTAGAGTCAAGTAAGTTATTTCACTTTTTTTATACAAAAAAAAAAAACAACCAGTAGTGTGTGTTTAGTTCTCACAGCAAACATTAAGAATTAATTGCCTTGACTCCAAAATTGCCACTTCCAACATTTACTTGGTGTGTAATTCTGAACTCAATAAAGAAATCAGTTCTGTTTGTGTGTGTTTACAGCAATTTGAGTGAAGAGTCAAAGCAGCAAAACTCCGAGCTGTCTGAGCAGTTAAAACTGAGTACACAAGACAATGCTGCAATGAGGCTGGAGGTAGACGAGCTTCGCAAGAGGCTTGAGATGGCTGACCTCATGTTACAACAGGTATGTATGAATATGTGCAAACATTTTCACTGTTCAAACACAATTTAACCCGTTTATCTTCTGTCTGTTCTTGGCAATTGGCTAATCGCTGGGATTAGTTTAGATTGTTTGGTAACTATAAGAGTAGGACATTGCTATAAATCTGGTAGCCACTAGTCACTGTCACTATTAGATCTTAATTCTTTTTTTTTTTTCTTCTTTTTTTTACTTGCCACGTCCATTCACCATTTCTTGTCTACCATACCTTTAGTACAGTGGGGAAAAAAAAATCAAGAATATTGTTTTTTTTGTATTTGTATAACTAAATATTTTATTTGTTTATTTATATTTTACACTCACGGTGTTCCTTTGATTTCTTAACAGTATTCCAGTCAATCAGATCCCACCAATACAAACCAGCAAGTTCAGTTATTGCTGGAACAGAAGCAGCAGCTGGAGGCACAACATCACCAGGTTTGTTTTTATAGTAGATATTAGCATGTGTTACTGCAGGTAACTTTAACCCTTTAATGAAGCTCAACTCGCGTAACTTCTCTCCATCCCCTCGACTGTCTGGGTCAATTTTTGTGCAAAGTTATATGAGGAAGAAAACGAACTATGATTCACATTAACTAGCTTATCATTCGTATTGATTTAAAGCCGACAGTAAACAAAGACTATAAATGTGTATTAGAGGTGTTTAAAGAAAGCTTCTCAGAATTGCTAAATATCCTTGTGTGAAAGAGAATGTGTAATACACTTTGTAAAACTAGCAAAATGAATAGGTATACACATTTATGCAACTTTTTAAGATGTGACTGTGTACAACATCTATAAACAGAACAAAGACACCACAGTGACTACAAGCTTACCTTTTATAACTGTTACTGTAGCTTCTGGAGTCTGTTAACCAGCTGAAGACAGAGAGAGACCGATATGTGGAACGGATCCAGGAGGAGGGCCGTGTGTGGAAGGACAAAACAGAGCAGCTGCTAACACAGGTAAAGGCTCGTCAACTAAACTGTGCTTTATTAAAGCTACAAAGGTGTTTCAGGTACTAATTGATGTGTACATTTTTGTTCATTAAGGTCTCTTTGGTGGCGGAGGAGAGGGACAAAAACATTAACCGAGTCCATGAACTGGAGGCCAGCATTGCAGAATTAAAACATGCTGCAGGTGAGAAGTGAGCATAGTGCTTCTACCTATTCAATACTTTGCAACAATTTAGTATGAAGCACTTTGTAGTACAGCATCTAACATCTGACTGATACACTTGTTAAATAAAATAGAGCAGAATGCTTGTGAAGAGAATTAAGACTAATATGCTATTTGTCTTTTCACTAGTGTCAAAATATTTTGACTGTTTTTAAGAAAGGGTTAAACCGAGGAGTAAAATTAGTGCACAGATTTAGTTTTAGCCAAAACAACATGCAAAGACTTGATCTTTCATTAAAAAAAAAAACAGATGACACTGAATCTCTTAATGAGGGCAAAAATCAGGGTTTATAGAAGAGATGCGTAAAATGTAAATCAGCCGAACAGCATCAGAATAAATAAAAAAAGTTCACAGATTTTCACAAAGCTTTTATACTATTCTTTTTCTTTGTGCCACAACAGCATTTACTTGTCACTTGTACACTCAGAGAGGATGTACTGGGTCAGGGCCTCAACCCAGACGTCATGGCATCTTTGTTTCTATCTATGTAGCTTCACCGATAACATGTCTTATTACACTGCCTGATAAACTAAATGCTACTTCAATTTCACCTACTTGTTACTAGATTGGTCAAAGTACAGAAAATAAAAATCTTTTTTTTGGTTCAAAAGCTGTTTTTAACAATTACAAAATATTCAACACAAACATTTGAAATGAATCTTCATTAAAGTATAAATTAGACTTATTTTTATCCAATTTATAGCAAAGTAGGTTGACTGTTTTTATCTTCAGCACTCGTAGAATGTTACATATGGCTCTAATTAACACAATAATTGTTTTTCTGAAACAAAAGTTTGAGGAAGAAGATACAAACAGAAACAATAAAAAGTATATATCTGTGAAAACTGTATTTATTATAACAGTTTTTTATTGTTCTTTTCTTTTGTAGCAATATTATCTGTTGAGAAAGAAGCCCAAAGTGCTGCAGAACCTACATCCTCAGAACCATCAGAGAGAGAGGTGGCTCTACAGGAGGCCCTCACGAGTTTGCAACATGAGAAAGATGCCATTACTGCACAGTACCAATCACAGGTAGCCAATAAATTGTGTAAACTACACATTTTGTTAGCAATATTAAATATTCCATTTACATATTGCTTGTTCTTAATATTTCAAAAGAAGCACTTTTTTTTTCTCCAAAAAATGTTCCAGTGTGTTGAGGCAGCACAAAAAGGTTCCTGGGTTTAAGCCCAGACTGGGCCTGGGGTCGTTCTGCACATTTTCATGTTTGTGTGGGATTTCTCCGAGCACTCTGATTTCCTCCCACAGTTCAAAAACATGTATGTTTAGACTGCCTTCATTCCCAGGCCTCACTTGAAAATTACACCTGTGATCTCTGTGATTTACATGATTAAATAATGGTTAATAAATTAATTAAATTGTGTTCCATCCTGTGTAATATTTCCTCCAGCTTCGAGACAACGAGCAGCTAAGTCGCCTGTGTGCAGAGCAGGAGACGCGTCTGGGGGAGTTGGAGGGTCAGGTGGAGAACCAAGTCCAGGAGGCAGAGGACCGCCGGCGCATGTTGGAGGATGTTCAGTCAGACAAGGCCACGATAAGCCGGGCTCTCACCCAGAACCGAACACTGAAGGACCAGTTGGCTGAGTTACAGAACGGCTTTGTCAAACTGGTGAGGCTAAAAATTTTACTAATGTACTTATTCTTTCAAGTATTTATTGCTGAATTAGTGTATAAATCAAAACTAAATAAGTAAAACTTTGAATCTTTCTGTTGATGGAAGCCTTCATATTTAAATGCATCATCCTGTAGTTTCCTGCTTTTGTTAGTTTCATCAGTTTCTTTGTTTTAAAACACATTTTAATGCACATTCACCCTCTCGGTGTTACCTTTTAATTATCACTATTATTATTATTAATAATAGCTCTTACTACTTCATTACATAGACTAATGAGAACATGGAGCTGACCACTGCCATCCAGTCAGAGCAACATGTTAAAAAGGAGCTGGCACGCAGGATGGGTGAACTGCAGGAGAACCTGCACAATCTCAAAGAGCAGGTGATGTGATCAGCACGCTACACAAAAATAAACTTTCCTGAGATTTTTTTTTCAAGTTAAATGTTTTGCTTTATGCATTTTTGTAAATTAATATTAATTTCTTTCAGTCAGTACATAATGGTAATAAGACCAAAAACTACTTTATTTAAAAATGGTGCTATAAATTGAAAATTATCTTCCACTTTTTGGTATTGATGTCCCTCTTCCTTTCATTACCTCCAGCTGGAGCTGAAAAGTCAAGAGATTCAGGGTCTTGCAGAGCAGAGAGACCAGGTGGTGGCTCATCTGCAGCAGTACAGCACCGGCTACCAGGCTCTGGCCTCAGAGAGGGAACAGCTCCACCAGCAGTATCTGCATCAGACCCAGCTCATGGACCGGCTGCAGCACGATGAAAGTCATAGTCGTGCACAGCTGGACATCAGCCACAATCAGCTCAGACAAGCACAGGTATTTATTGCACTTGTTTTTCTGAACATTCATGGCCACACTGTGAAGTCCAAGTAAAAAAGTATAATAAAACTTTGAACTGTGCACTAGGGGTGCACCGACTGCAGTTTTCTGACCAATCGCAGATCACTGATTTCTAAAAAGTCTGACCTGCCGATTCCGATTTTGGTCTACACCGATTTTGTTTTATAAGCGACACCGTCAGGTGATATAAGGTCACAATGCACCTTCAATTTTCCAATATTATTTTGTTGAAAAACACACCCTTGAACAATATCCTAGAAACAATACACACTTGTTTTAACTGGCCATGAGGCAGTGCTCTGAAATATAAATGAAGTTCAGACAATTGTTGTTAAAACAAAAAAAATTGGTAAAATCTGTTTTTCATGCAAGTATCGGCCGATTTCCCAAATTAAGGAAATCATGGGCCGATAAATCCTACTGTGCACACAGACACTGACCCGTTTCCACTTTATCATTTTTCTTGTGCATGATGGAAATGTTTAAAATTTAAAGAAAGCGTCTTTTCTGGCAAAATGTTGCATAAACAAAATTCTGAACAGGCTAACCAAACACTAAATTAACATCATTGAAATTTATGGAAATGAGGGATTTAAGTGATTGTTAAGCTGCATTAAAATCCATTTTAAATATTCTAAAATATAAAATTTCCTGTTATTTTATTGGAAGAGAAGTGTGCACAAGATGTAGCAGCTGACTGGACTGATCCAAAGTGGTTCAGACTTAAATCCTCAGTAGGAGGATAAAATGGCATTAACAAATGCTTTGTTCTTTACCTAAAATGTAGCAGGAATATTTTATGAAATGATAGAAAGTGGTTTAAAAGAGTTTTTTATGTACATGTAATGAAAGGTATTTCATTCCTGTCTTTTTCTTCTCCCACTGACATTAAAACACATGAGGGGCTTTATAGTTATTGTTTTAAATATTTGTTGTTGCAGGAGCATTTGGAACAGTTAGTCAGAGACAATGAGCATCTGAAGGCTGAGGTGAAAGAGCTGCTCAACAGCTCAGCCCTTGAGACCTTATCCAGAAACCAAGGTAGGTGCTCTTTTACTGGTATTTTGTTGAAATGAAAATATTTCCAAAGAAACAATGAAATAGTGGAACGGCTGTAAAGCACCTGACTCCACTTAAAAGCAAACGGCTGCAGTTTTTATCATCACAGTGTAAAGCTGTTATTGTACTGCAGCTTCAGACAGTATGAGCCGAGGTAGCATAACAAACAAATTACTTTTGTAGTTGTTACATATAATGTTAAAGTATATTAAAGTGTCTTAATGATTTTATTTTCTTGTATAATTTAGGCGATGGAGTAGAAAGCCAATCGGTGCAAGAAAGTCCCAAGATGTCCTCCTCTCTTGTCATTCCAGACGACTTTGAGAGTCAAAAAGAAATGGTAAGGACAAAAAAAAAGTTTTTAGATGCTTTGAAATGAATTATCTGCAATAAGGCAGATTTTATATCCAGGTAATCAAATGTACATAACTAAATCTTTGCATAGAGTTGCATCAGGCTGTGGATCGTGACTCTGCGTTACTCACCCGAGTCGCCCATGCTCTGTGCTCCATCACACCATTCTAATCCACTCTTGTTGGTCCCGTTACAGGAGGATTTCATCCGTGGTGCTTTGACACAGTTAGAAGCTGAAAGAGACGAGGCCAGGCAGCAACTAGAGGAGGAGCGCAGGCTCTACATGGCGGCTCGTCAACAGGCCGCTGTGGCCTTCAGACTTGAGCAGCAACATCTAAACTACAAACCTGTCCATGAAAATGATCAAGAACACAACCAGAGTCAGGACCAACACAGTCAGGAGCATTCAGGTTAGAAAACAAAATGGTGACTAAGTTTGTGGGACTAGTTCTTGTTCACATTCTCAGACAGTCTTAAATATACAATGAGCTCAGTGTAAAAAAAATAAATATATACTCTTTGTGCTATCTCCAGAAGGAGTGCCAGTGGAAGTACATCAGGCCCTGCAAGCTGCAATGGAGAAGCTTCAGCAGCGTTTCACCTCCCTCATGCAGGAGAAAGCTGATCTGAAGGAGCGAGTGGAGGAACTGGAGCACCGCTGCATCCAGTTATCAGGAGAGACCGACACTATAGGTCAGTGAACATAATGGCATCATACTGTTATTTTCTAAAATCCCATTTTTAAAGTTCTTGGCAGGTAAGTTTCGACTTTATGTATTTCTAAATGCATTATTTCTGTGATGGATTTGTTTATGGTTGTGTTTGGTTCTGTTCTAGGGGAGTACATTGCCCTGTACCAGAGCCAGCGGGCCATCATGAAGCAGAAACACTTGGAGAAAGAGCAATATATCAACATGCTGGCTCAGGACAAGGAAGAGATGAAGGTTGTGAATAGTCTGCTTTTATTGTAGAGCAGGGGTGTCAAATTCACTTACAAAAGGGGCCAAAATTAAAACCTTTTTCAAACTAAGGGCCAATTTCAGAAACTACATTAGCTCAATCAGATACCCGACCTCTTTTCTTGGTCACAGGTTCCTCAACAAGAGTTTGATTGGTCTCATTTGATGTTCTCTGTTGTGCGTTCGACATCATAATCAAAGATTACTGGAAAAAATTCAAGAGATTGAAGTATTTTACGTTTAAAATATCATCTTGAGGGCCAGATAAGATGTCAACGAGGGCCACATTTGGCCCCCGGGCCTTGAGTTTGACATGTTGTAGAGGAAGACAATTGTAGGAGCCTAAACTAAATTTTGTAAAGCTTATATGTATAACTGAAGCTATTTGTTTTATGTGTAGATCTTTATTGGTTTGAGGTTAGTAACATGTTTATTTAAGTCATGTGATGTGGGTGGGGCATGGCAGGAAAAAAAAAAAGTCCAGACAGACTAGATGGGGAGTGAAGCCAAACAGTTTTTTGACCTCCCTAGCTCTTTTTCTGTTTAATTACCAACTTGTAGCATGAGAGAGACGAAGAAACGATAAAGCCGATAAATGAAAATGAGGTTGATCATTTTCATTTATCATGCAATTAATTGATTTGTTGTTTATTGTGAAAGGCCTAATCATGACTCGTGATTGTCAGTCACTGTGTGGTTTGAATAAGTTATTAGGTTACAAACAAAATTTTAAAAATCAAATGCTTTTAGAGATGAATAATCGCTTTCATGAAATAAAAATGACAAAAGGTTTTCCTTTACACCTCCACAGGTGTGCAACCTTTTCGACAGTGTGCAGTTTCAACCTCTGTTTAACATATCTGTCCTACATATTTTAGACTGTCATCGGTGATTGTTGTAACAAAAATAAGAACTGTTTTGTGTCTTTGTTCTCTCACTTTTATCTCCACTGACTATCAGGCAAAACTGGCTGAGCTGCAGGATCTCGTCATGAGGCTGGTGGCTGAGAGGAACGACTGGTACAACCGCTACGCTGGAGCTGTAGCCAGAATGGGAGCAGGAAACCCAGACCTGCTTCCTGTTGGGGAGGAACACGCTCACTCACAGCATCAAGAACATAAACAAGCTGATCCTAATGCTGTCAGTGGAGATGGTAAGCTCAAGGAGAAAGCAAATCACAAAACAAGAACTGTGCTAATTTTGCTCGTTAATGGTCATCTGTAATCAGTTTTTCTTCAAATATCCTCCTCCCCCTTTTCACCGACCAACTGCTGCTGAATTAGAAATGTGTGCTTTTCACAATCATCTCCATCTTTTACTCATGTGGAGCTAATTAATCAAGTGTCAGCACAACAAACCATTTAAGAGCAGAGGAACCTGTTTTAACGAGCGTCAATCTCAGCTGCTTTACGGTTTAGGACAGTTGCACGTTTCATGTTTATATTTATTATTTGTTCTCAGTAAATGTATTCTTCTGCTCCGATTTGTTTATTTCAGAAGATATGGAGGTCATCCCTCTGTCCGAGATGGAAGCGGCCTCCCAGTCGTTACCGTCTGGGCCTTCTCAGATTAAATCCAAACGTGTGGCGCCCAAAGAGGACGGCACAGCTCGGCAAATCATGCAGCTTCTCCAGGAGATCCAGAACCCGCAGGGAGCTCAGCGGTCGGCACCTTTCCTGGGAGAAAACCCCTGCATCCCCTTCTTTTATCGGCCCGACGAACAGGACGAAGTGAAGATCCTGGTGGTGTGAGCTGTGTGTTGAGACATAATGGACACGTCCTGAGCTATGCGGCAATGTAAAACCCCGCAGTTTAACACATTTGTAGCTTAATGATCATATTTACAAACACTTCCTATGAAATTTGACACCTTAAAACTGGTCATAGATGTAAATATCTTTGACTCAGTTGCTTTGAAATGTCCCCTTTTTGTTCTGTATGTTTGTTTTTGTTATAAAGACGATATTCTTAAATGCAATTTGATTACTCTCAATATTACATTTTTGAATTTTTGTCCCCTTCTTGCCTCCCATCTCACACTAATGTGCAATAAAGGTACAGTATCGCCAGTCCCTCTGCTGGCACAGTACCTGAAGAGATGTTAAAATTTCCAGTTTTTTGTAACTTCCCGTTGGAAAATGTCAGTTTTATTTCACAGTACATATGCCAAAAACAGCATCACGTTTGAATGTAGTAATCCAGATATTTAAATGTATAAAATGTGAAGAGAAGGATGCAAAAAGAGGATGGGTTGGTAAAGAACAAGAGTTTTGTGCACAAAAAGCTTTTAAACTTTAAAGTGTTGAAGTCATGAGCTCGCTAAGTTACCGTCAAGTTCAGAAAGAGGAAGGAGCACGTTGCTGATCGGTACTGTTTCAGTTACTACCTTGTTTGTTTTTTTTTGTCAAACACTGAAAGTAACTCATGTTTGTACATCAACTAATGTTAATAGTTGTGAAGTATTTTAGATTTGTGGTGTTTTAAACATCTTAGACTGAGAGACGTTGGCGTCACTACAAACTGGTGGTTGATCAGATCAAATAAGCACATGGATGCAAAGTGAAGACCCCGTGAAGGTGAAATGAAAAGTTATGGCGGCACAATAGGCTTCTTCTTGGGTTTCAGTGCTGCAGCTTCTTCAAGTTGTCCCTCTCTGGCTTTAACTTGAGCTTTTGCTTCAGGGCTCCTAACAGATCTCACCATTCCAGTCCTGTAAATTGTTTCCAGTCATTTCACTGAGAACTGGACTTCTGTTCATTGGGGTCTTTTAACTTCACAAACAAATCAAGAGCCCTTTTTTTTTTTTTCTGTTACGTTGATTTCTTCATATCAAAAGATTCTTGATTACATTCTTGAACTGGATATTTGTGTGTGGCTTGAAATTCAGATTATTTAGCCAAAATTGCATCTTTTGTACTTTATTTTGGTAGTTCTGTCAGATCCTAGGAGTATGATTGCACTAAAACTGTACAAAGCTTCTCGTTCAGATTCGTCCTGTCCAAATGTTTTGACTGATGCTTCGGGGAAGTCCTATGAAGCTTCACGCTGAGGATTCTGCTGAATTTACCTGAAAAATTAATAGCTCAGGATGAGCATGGTGTAAAAAAAATTAATATAGAAGGTAACATTTTTACTGCTAGCTTAAAAAAATCTATTTCCATAGGTGAGGGACCATTGAGGCTTCTAGAAAATAATTCAAATTTGCCATTATCCTGCAATAAGAAAGTATTTTGGGGGCATTAAAAAGCAACGAAAGAATCTGAAAATAGGATTGTTTATGAGCAAAATTCGGAGTTGGTGATTGTACTCATAAATGTAAATTGGAGAATATTGTTTCAAAGCAGATTATTGATTCCTTTGATAATTAAGACTTTTTCCGAGTATTCTGCTTATTTGAGTGTTTGAAATTTTGAGATATCCTCTTTTGCTCATTTCTTAAACTATGAAATTGCAAGCTTAATATTTATCACTAAATAAAAGCCATTATAAATTGGTATTTCATATTAATATTATATGGTAATTCATATTATAAAGCAAGAAGTTTCTAAAGTATAAAACGTAGGATGAGTAGTGTTTGCAGAGAAAGCGCATCGACCCTAAACCAGGCGGTTTGAGTGGATTTACTCCCATTCTTCCGTTTAAAAATTTCTTATTTGCCTTTTTTTTTTTGTATCACAAATTTATTTAAATGTTTTTTCCTTTCATTTTTTTGGGAGTGGTCAGTTCCAATAAGAAAATCTGCATTAAATCTTTTTCCGGGCTGCGTGAAATAAATGTGTGTTAATGAATTTCAGATGCTTTCTGGTTCACTGCTTAATATGTGTAATTAAAGAAAAACATTTATGTCTTTACTGTAAAGGAGGAGTTGTAAATACTGTAACTGTGTAACATATTGTATATTCTGCCTGATGTATGATGGGGTAGGAGCTAAATTTGCCACGTTTGCTGGCAGTCTGGATTGTGTGTATGTCTTTAAATGTTGACGGTTACTGACTGGCTGCAATTTAATACAAAAATTGACGTTAAAATATTCTATTTATTTGGAATAAGTTAGTATCTCAACTAATCCGTTTTAATATAAACTTGAAGTGAGTGTTGGGTGGGAATGAAGGTTCACTGAGTGACCTGATTTGTTTGAGTGTTGCTCTGATTATTTGTTTTCTTGAGTCAATTTTTCTCCCCTTCTGAATAAAATTGATTTAGCAACAGAAGCAGTATGTCGTCTTTGATGCTTCGAGCTGTTCTTCAGTCAAATTAACTTTTTCAGACAAGATGTCGTACCAAAACACCTGAAGCGAGTAAATGACATGCTTAGAAACTCCCCCAAAACTATCAGTGTGCTGCTGATGTACTTTAGTACTGGCTGCATGGTACTTAACTGGTAATTTTTTACAAAATAAATGGAAAAACCACCACTGTGAAAAATACTTGACAACGGTTCAGTAATATGAAATGAAATGAATGCATATCACCTGCCACCTTCCATGCCATGCAGTTAAAGCTGTTTTGGTCCAACCAGCCTCCTGCAACTATCAACTTCAAAATGGAATCAGTTTTTAAAATTAACAAATTGGTACTTTTATTTTGACACATGCATTTACTAATAGCTTACACTATATGGTCACAAGTATTTCAACATTTTACTTGTTGAATTCAGTCAGGGTTTGAGCTCACCAAGACGTTTGTGCACAAAGTAAGAACTATAAAGACATGGTGGACTTCCACACAGCCCTGACCTCAACCTCATGCGCCTTGGAGATGACCGGGAACAGATTGGAACACCGAGATTATCATCCAACACCAGCGCTTAGCCTTAAAAATGCTTTATATTGAGAATGGGAACAAATTCCCACAGAAACAATCCCAAGCTTCATAACAATAAGTTGAAGTTGCAGCTGTGAAACGGGCTGACTCCACACAGTTCCTGTTTGTTAGGTCAGGTTTGTCTAAATACATTAGTCGATTTATGCAATAATGCTGCTTTCTCTTTAGTAAAACACTTTTCCCTGTATTGCATCTGCTTATATTTTTTTATTTATGCTGAAAATAATCACCTTGCTTAAACCAAATACTGAATATCTCCATCTGATGAGGAGACTAAGATTCAACATAAAACTGTTTTTTTTTTTTTTTTATTATTAATTTTTTATCTAAAGTGTTTATTAGGTGTGGAGTTATTATTAACAGCTATTAACTTTCTATTTTTTTTTCTATATTGTGTCCCAAAAGGTTTACTGATGTAATCTTTACTTGATTCAGAACTATTTAATCTATGTGACAATCCAGTTATTTTTTAATTTTTATTGTGCACAATTAATTTAAAAAAGACAAAGACTTCTTACTCATTACAGTACTCAGAGGTGTTTAATGCGTTAGGATACAATTACATACCCATTGAAAAGTAAAACACCATCCCTGCTTCAATCAAAGGTATTCAACAACCTGCCAGCATCCATTTACATCTAAAACCATTTTATCCTCTTATCGTTGCTAAATATTATTCTACTATAAGCATCGTTTATTGATAATAATTTAAATTATGCTGTTTCATATGCTGCAGGCTAAATTCTCTAAACAGGGAGACCACAAGTCCAATGAAATGCACCACACATGTACAGAATAACACATTAAGATGTGTCCATAATCAACTAAATACCAATAAATAATGAGGAGAATACGCTTTGCTGCGTTTGAGGGTAAAGATACACAAGAGGTGAGCGGAGTGTTCGTGTAAACGACTGGAATGACGATCGGGGTAAAGATGTGGATTTTTCCTGGCGTGTGAGGGAAGTGGGTTAAAATACAACACATTTACACCGACAGTGGAGCTGAGCAGTCAGAAAAAGGGATGGAAAAACAGGCGGAGTTGCACAATGTGAGGACTCGACACGGGGCACAGACTGTGACCGTTCATGTTCTCACTCACCCCCATGACCACTGAGAGAAGAGAGAATAAAAAACAACAACAAAAGGAAATAGATCAACTTAAATAAAACGGTAAATGTTTTCCTGTTATATCAAAATGCATAACATGATCAACCCTGACTTAAGGCTATAGCCTTTGTCCCATTAATATCTACATAAAAACATCTAACAGTCTGAAGGAGCAACTCAGGCCACAAAGTTTTCCCCTCTCTGGATTACTGATGTTCAGATTCTTCTCCGATTGGTGTCATGCTGTTCTTACTTGTACCAAATTTTCCGGTGTATAAGCCATTTTGATGTATAGTCGCATTTATTGAATGGTCAAAACAGCTTTATTTCACCTGGGCGGCACAGCGCCATCCATCCATCCATCCATCCATCCATCCATCCATCCATCCATCCATCCATCCATCAACGTGACTGGAGCAGCAAGCTCTCCAGCATTCCTCCGCTTGCACCAGCTGAGTGAAGCGAGCGTGCACAGGACTCGCTGTTGCAGTTCTTCAAAATTTAAAGCATCAGTCAAAAATTTCCTTATGAATATGGAATAAAAAAACATATATATATAAGTCGCGTCGGCGTTTATGTCAAATCTATGCAAAAAACTGCGACTTATACGCTGGAAAATACGGTACACCCTGCGGTACTTTGTACCTTTTACTACCTCACATCCACAAGAGTAACAGGACTAATGATGCTTGCAAAAGGAGGAAAACGCAGGGAACAGATCCAGTTTTCTTTTTCTCGTTGTTGCATAGGTTATCCGAAAGCACAGACAGCAGCTTCAGGAGGTGTTTATAAAAGGATGAAAGGTTCTTGAAGAGAGCGGACGGGCTCCTGACTTTCTGACACGAGCGGGACGGAAAGGAAAGATGAGCAGAAGCAGCCCTTGTCTGTCCAGGCGTCCTGAGCTGAAGAGTCTGGAGGTGGTGATCAGCCCTCCTCCATCAGCTGAGAGAAAGAGTGAGCGGTGAATGGATGCTGGAGTAAATGAAGGTTTTAAGTTTAGGAGGTGAAAGGAAGAAATCTAAGAGTCGAATGGTGGCAGGGGGCTCTCTGGACAAGAAGGCCCACCCTTATTTGGCCTAAAGTTTTAGAGAAAAATCAAACAAATTCTTATTTGGCAGGATGAACAAAGGAAACCCCAAAATGATACAAGCGAGGGACACAAAACCTTTCTTTCCAAATTTCAGCTAGATGCGATAAAACAGGATTTAGGTGTCCTCACTATGATTTTGGAGGGAGCACAATTACAAATCTAAACCAGAAAAAAAAAACAATGAAGAAATAAAACATACCGTATTTTTCAGACTACAAGGCACACTTAAAATTCTTTCAGTGAGCCTTACAATCCAGTGCTCTGGTTGTGCTTACTGACCTCGAAGTGATTTTATGTGGTACACGGCGCTCAAAAATCTGTCAAAATTAACTTATTTAGCTTAATGCGCCTTATAGTCCGAAAAATACGGTACACAAAGCTTCAGTGATGCATTTTGCAGAACAGCTCAGCATGAATCACTTCTCTTAAAGAAATACTTCACATACAGCTGTTACTTTTTACCTCCTGAACCAGAAATACTGCAAAAGGGAAAGACATTTACTTATTTTTTCATTAAAAAAAAAAATGCGTTTAAGTTTTTGCTTTTCATGCAAGAACCTGTATATCCCTAAGCAGTTACTTTAAATTCCTGTTATACATTACCATTAAACAAGACCTTTAAAAACTAAAGTAATTTCTTTGGATATTCTGCTATTTAATGTTGAATATTTTGAGACAAGACTGCATCGAGTTAATGATACAAGACTTTTATGTTCAGGTGAAGTATTTCTTTTTAAAAAGGAACAATTAAAGCTAAAAATGTTTGTCACAAAAACAAATATTAAGAAAAAATGAAGGTCATGCTAAATCTTTATATGTTTCACTTTAAAAGGAGAAATATTGTGCAGTCATTTTGCTTGAGTATACCTGATAGGATATATTTAATGGTCTCTACAGTAAAACTTGTCATGCAAATGAGTTTCAAGTATTCTGCATCTCTGAGTAAACAGAGGAATGAGAGTGTGGGGGAGGGGGGGGGAGGTTTGGATGAGAAAAAAAAAAGGAGTTTGCTGATGAAGAGGAAAGGAGGAGGGGAGCCTGTGGAGGTCAGATGAGGCAGGAGATGACAGCAAGGTGGCGCTGTTGTCTTTAGACGCCTCTCATCCAGAGGAGGAGCAGACAGATGGAGGAGGGAGGAAGGAGCTCGGAGGCCTAGTGGGTTGGAGAAGGTGGGGGTCTCCGACTGGCGTGAACACACAAGGAAAGACACAAAGAGGAGAAAAGTGGTTGGATTAGTCTCGTGTTATCATGATGGTGTTTTTGTCTTTATTGATGGTCCAGATTAAAGTTTCAGCTCCTCCATGGGTTATACACAAATTATGACACATTCACTGACATCTCGGAGTTCTCAGGCTCAGTTATATGGGATGACATTTATGCCAAAGGCCACGACAAGTGTATTTTACACTCCTCGTGTGCACTGAACCTCCCATGCGCACACAATTCTGTGACCACGAGCACGAGTTGCAGCTGTCTGTGTTCTCATGTATCAATCTGCGTGCTCGTGTGAAACGTTGGGACCAAGTGTAGAAAAAAGCACGGAAATGTTAACCCTCATATGATTGGCCACTTCTCTGCTATCCCCGCCCCGTGACCCTTGTTGGCGCTGGCTTCAATATATACCGCTGTTACACAATATTCTGTGACCACCGTATATTGTTACCGTAGGGGGCGCTGTTGCATTTTTATACCATACTTTGCAACATCTGATGAACACTATCATATTCTGTGACTGTCTATATTTCCATAATAGTCATGATATTAGTGATCAAATGTTACTTTTTATTCTTTGGAGAAAAGAGAGTCAGCAGAAACAATTCCGTTAGTGAAAACCTTGGTTTGTTCAGCTATTTCTTTCTTTTTCTGCAACAGCGCCCCCTACGGTCACAATATGCAGTGGTCACAGAATATGGTGCAACACTGGCAGCGCCAACAAGGGTCACTGGGAGGGGATAGCAGAGAAGTGGCCAGTCATATGAGGGTTAATATTTCCATGCATTTGTTCTACACTTGATCCCAATGTTTCACATGAGCACGCAGATTGATACACGAGAGCACAGACAGCTGCAACTCGTGCTCGTGGTCACAGAATTGTGCGCGCACGGGAGGTTCAATGCGCGCATGGAGTGTAAAATACGCTCGTGGTGGCCTTTTGGCGTAAATGTGATTCCATACAGTTAAAGCACACAAACTGAGCACAGATGAAGATGTTACTGTTGTTACGTAAGAGATATCGTGACAAATGCACAACAAACAAGAAAAAAATAGTTTTTAGACTAATTTTGACACTTCATTACTATTTAATGAGTAGCCTCCACTGGGACAAACCTGTTTCCCCCACTTCTTGCTGCCTAGATTTTACATAAATTAGTTAACTAGCTCCAAAAAGCTCATGCAGTGCTCTGAGTGGAGAAGTGAACAGCAAGGGGGCCGAAACAGGAAGTGACATGCAGCCAAAAGATGACCTCTGAGGCGTCTTTCAGGCTCATGATCGTGATGATGATAATGATGGCAAATATTACCCAACATACCAGAAATCTTAGTCCTCACTGGCCAGTGATAGTGATTCTGCAGAAGGAACCACAGTCATGTGTGTGACAAAGGTGTGGTGAAGAAGAGACACATGAAAGAGGAGCATGAGGACAGAAAAGCACATACAGTCACAGGGTGGACCAACGTCGCATGTGCTCGGCTCTCCAGGACACACATCAGTGCACGCAAAATCATTTGGATATAATAAAATCAATGTTCAAGCAGCATTCTTCAGATTGTTCGTTTATATTTTTTTATCCCAGCGAGAGCTCAGCCAAGAGATGTTGGTGTCCTCTACAGGACAAGCGCCTACTCTCATGATCAGTTAGAAACGGTAGCTAGCTTCCAGGCACAAGCAGAGACACGTGCACTTCATGATGAGCTGCAGTGAAGGTGGGTGCAGAGGATGCACTGTGTGTATGCTGCTGCAGGAGAGGCCTGTTTGAGGGTTGGAAGGTGATTGAAAAGTCCACTCATTCATAAAGAAACAAAAACCTGTTAATATTAAATAAATAAATTGTTATTTGTTGTTTTTGCATTTTCAAAAGAATTTCTAACTACTATATGTGAATCTACTCATCTATCCTCTATGATAACTAGCACTCATTAATTTAATTTACCTCCTTCCCCCCCTCATGCATGGATCTTCACACCCCCCTAACATCAAAGTATCATAAACAGATTTAATTGTTCATTTTAATATTATAACAACGTTTGTTTGGTGGATGTAAAGTCAGCCTTGTAGGTTTATAATGTCCGTTTGTTTTCCTCACCTGGGAACACTAGGGGGTGCACGATTAGGCCTGGAGGGCACAGTGGGAGGTGGCCCTCCATGAGGGTCTGGAGAAGCTCCGGGACGAGAAGGGACAGGGGGTCCCCCAGCAGGAGGAGGCCCAGGTGGAGGTCCGCGAGAACCTGGGCGAGCTGGGGGTCCAGGTGGAGCCCTGCGGTTTGGTGTAGGACTGGTTGCAGGAGACCTGGTGGTTAAAGAAGCAGGAAAAGAAAGGAATGCAAAAAAAAAGAACATTATATAAGATCTCATCTCCTTCTGCTGATCATCCTATATGTGACCTACCTTCCTCCGGAGCCGCCCCGTTGCACCTGCAGCCAGGAGTCGTCCACAGGAGGCGGTACAGCGGTGGTCACGGTGGTTGTGCTGATGTCCCCAATGATGCTGAGGGCCTCCCGCAGAGCGTGATACATCCGGAGCATCTCGTCGCGGTGCTGCGCCTGCTCCTGGGACTCCTCCATCAGGGTGTTTTGGTCTCCACATGAGTAGAGCTGGGCCAGCAGCTCAGCGTTAATGAATTCTTTTGTCTGAACAGAAAGAGAGCAACATTTAATTGCACAAATAAGAAGCGCTCTCATCGCTGCATGTCCCGTTTCGCCAAACTGCTGCACATGCGGACGACTCACGTTGTTAATCATGAGATGCATGATGGTCTTTGGCATCAAGTCGCGCACGGTTTTGTTGACGATGGCCATGTAGGAGTCGACCAGGTTGCGAATGGTCTCCACCTGCCGCTCCAGCTGAGGGTCCATGCTGTGCATGAAGCTGTCGGCGCCATTCTCATCCCCACTCTCACTCTGTGGAGACAAATTCAAGATGAGCTACAAACACACAACTTTCACAGAAAATAAGAGCAAGCTAACGTAACAGGGGAAACAGATGGTAGCTTTGATGCAAGGACTGCTTCAGAGTTATATTTTGTTAGCTTACTGATCAGAAATCAGCTTGGTCACACAAGCACAAGACAGGTCTACTTCAAATCTATTTCTAGATGCAGTGCTGCAAAAAGAACAAGTTGTTTTATAGGTTTAACTCTTAGAACGGTGAAATACAACAAGTATATTTCAAAAGAAGGAGTTTACTTCAGCATTGGTGTTAAAACAGAATGAACACACAACATTCAAATCCCTATGTAGTAGTTTTACTCAAACTGTATATAGATATAGAAAAATAACCAAAACACACACGACACACATAAAAATGTCAACACATTAAAACAGACAGTGATATCTAATCTGAAAAGAATGCATATAACTGCGTCCATGACATTCAATGTTTTGGAAGTTTTTTTTATTTTTTTATTTTTTTATTTACTTTGACGATTTAAATCCACAGAAGTGCAAAAGTTTTTGTTCCCTGCATGTTCTTTCATAATAAAGGATAACAAATAATATAATAATATTAATAATAGTGGGGTTTTTTTTTACTATTAAGATTAATTAAAACTACAAATCTATACTTTTTTTTAATTATTTAAATCAAAAAGAATATACTAGGATTTAAAAAAAAGAAAAACATGGAGAATTGCATACCTTTCCTTCCTTCTCCTATAAGGTGAAACATGAAAAGACATTGAAAAGGACACACAACATGTGACATAACAATAAAACTGTGGCAATAAATGTATAAAATATGGAGAAAAAAAATGCTTGCAGGCCTGTTCTGCTGTAAACAAGCAAAACATTTTAAACTTTTCTTACAGAGTTTTGTGTTTTTATACTAACATGACTAATCAGTCGAGTCAATACAAAAGAAATATTTGACATGTTTCTTTTATTTTAAATGAATCTTACCGTTACTCGTTCAGGATAAACTCCAGCTCTGAGGAAGGAGGCCTTCCACGCGTCGACATCTTCCTGACTCTCACAAGCCAGCTCCAGCTGACGGTAATCTTTATAGACGTTTCTGTGAACATAAAGTAAAGCAAACAAATGAGATCGGAGCAACTAAACAGGCTTTAACCAGTTGAAAATACAATTATTCATACATTTAAGATAATTTTTTTTAAAAGTTAATCGTCACTTTAGACCTCTAGTTTTCCAGTTATACATTTATCGAGTCCAGTTTATATTATTACTTTTGATTTTACTACATGTGCTTTAAATTTGCTAATAATACTCCTGTACTTTCACTAAAAACAAAGTAATTTTCATACTTAGGATACTGCAGAGCTTCCACCATGTAACGCACCGATGTGATTTTAGGGTGTGCAATTGTTTAATTTAGCTTTAACTTGATGGAGGACATGCCATTGTAATATATGTGTGTAGCTGCACCTCTGCTCGGTGTTGAAGAGGGCAAAAATGTGCTTGCTGGACATGAAGCCCTTCTCCACATCCCGCAGCTTCAGGTTGTCCACCGGCAGCATGTACTTCTTCTCCTTCTCCTGCAGGGGGCGACAGAGAGAAACTCCGATTAGGAGAAGGAGCTGCTGCTTGATGAAGAAGTTTGAGTTAAAATGATCCTCAGACAAGAGTAGATTATCACAGTAGGCACATTACGGGGCAGGACATTTTAAATTAATACAACCTGAATGGGAGAGTGTAATCAGAGAACCGTAAAGAAAGAGAGGTTAGATTAAAAGCCATAAAAAGGAAGCAGATGAAAGAACTTAAATGCCCCTCATATAGAGTTCTTCTGTCGATAAAAACAGAACAAGAGAAGTAGGAGAGTGGGAAAGTCGAACACAGCTTCTGGTTTTGATTAGTCACAAAATATGGCAAGCTGAAATGAAACGCCCACACATAAATATACGAAGATCTACTGAAAGTTTCATACTTGTAAAACCTGCACGCATCATGTGACACGCAAACTATTTCTGTATCAGGGAACCTCAGCATCAGTCACTTCAGTCAGAGGCACGCCGGCACTTTAATTCACACTAACACACACTCAGCCTGTGGTGTGGTGCATCTATTGTTGGAAACCAGAGTGTGTGTCTACGCACGTGTGCGACGCACAGTGAAATAACAGTTTGAAAAAAAATTACGCTCTAAAAATAAATGAGAGTCGCTGAGTTTCTAAAAGCTAAACACACACGCTGCTTCAGTTACAAATAGCACCTCTTAAGAGTAGTCTCTAACTAACCTTAAAACCATCTGGATGGCTAACCACAGGCCTGCCCTGCCCAACCCTGAGCGTGTGTGTGTGTGTGTGTGTGTGTACGTGTGTGTGTCAGACAGAGAAATAGAAGGCGAGCAAACTCCTTCATCAAAGGATTTATGACCTGTGCAGCCAAATGGTCATATCCCTTAAATGCATGTAAAATCTCCACAGACACATGAACGCACATAAACAACGACACATTTGGCCTGCACTCCCGGGTGTCTGCTGCGCGCACACACACGCATGCACGCACACACAAACTAAACAAGCAGTCGCCCCAGACTTTCAAATGCTGACATCATCATTTATAGCAGTGGCGAGTCCAAATTCTCCAACTCTCTGTCTTCCTTTTGGTTCAGCATTTCTTCATCTTCGCCTCCCTCATTTTCTTTCTCGTCAACATTTTTTCCCTCCCCCCCTTCTCAAGTTCCTTTCACTCTCTAGCTCTCCCTCTCCCTGGGAGTGAGCAGCCTTGGACCGATTCATACTTTTTCCTCTCCTTTAGCCAATAAATCCAGTCAGGAGAATTGGAAAGGAAGGAAGAAGGAGGAGGGCCGAGGGGGTGGGGGGCTACTGAGAGTCTACATGATGAAGGGGAAGGTGCATCAACACGCAACAAGAATCAAATGAACAAATTAATAAACAGCAGGTATCCATTGAGAGTGTAGACGTATTTGCTTTATTGAAGCGTCACATTAGAGTTGATCGCTTATGATTTGATCATTCCTCACATGTGTTTCCACATGTGTGTGTGTGTGGGGGGGGGGGGGTGCTTGATGTTGAGGACTGAGTGCTTTTCCATGTGTTTCTATAAAAGCAAGCCAGCATGAGTGGGCAACAGTACAGACTTCAGACATTATGCACACTCGCTCAGAGACACATGAGAAAACAAACCTAAATACATACAGATGCACCCGTAACGAATACGAGATACTGTGTGCGAAAACTCCATTTGACCTCTGTTTGCAGAATTTTACGTGCACAAAACCCCAAACTGTGTGTCTCAAAGAGAGTGACAGAAAGATGACCCGAGACGTCATCAGGATGTTAGAAAACTTTCCCTCTGTTGAACTAATTATCTTCAAAACGGTTTATAAAAGCTGTGTTTTCCCCGTCTTTTATCAATATAGTTGTCCTTTTTGTTCTTAGTTTGTCTTAGTTCATATCTTAGATCTTATTGCTGTTTTTCTTTTACATTTTATATTTTTGTTGGATGTAACTGGGACCCTGTGTACACAATTTCGTTCCACCTCATGTACCACATGTGATGCGAACGACAATAAGAAGCATTGAACTCTTTAAGTGTTATTAACGTGCAGAAAACTGTGACTAAAGCCTGTAAAAGCCTGCAAAACTAAACAAAAAGTAAAATATATACGTGATCGACCATTTGATCAAGTGGAATTATTAGATTTTATAAAATAAAACCAAAAACTAAAATATTAATTGTTTTATATGTAATCTTGCTGAGATGTTCAAAATAATTTCAGGAAAAAGAGAGAAAATCAACACAATGCAATTATGAAAGAAAGAAAAGTGTATTGGCACAATGCAGGAGATGCTGCCTTTCAACGAGAAGGTTGCCGGATAGAGTCCCAGCCAGGGGGCCAATCTGGGTGGAGTTTGCATGTTCTCTCCATGCATGCATGGGTTTTCTCCAAGTACTCAGGTTTCCCTCCACAGACTAAAAACATGCATGTCAGGCTGATTGGTAACCCTTAATGACACTGTTGTATTTCTGGACCGTCATGGAAGATGAGGCCATACTGTACACTCGTTTCAAGGGCGTGATGACGGGTAAGATGGACACTCTACAGTTTAAAAAAAACCTACCCGTTTTGAATGTTATCACCATTAAATGGCCAGTTATTAGTTGTTAGCATCCCCATAGGTTGCATTCAGACTGCCCCTCCTGGACCTCCTAGTAGGTTTAAAGGTACGCTGTTAGCATCGTTAGCTCTGATAATAGGCTCACGTCACATGGTTACGTTCAGAGTAAAGGGTCTGGGGGTTAGGTTTAGGGTCTGGGTTAGGTTTAGGCTCAAGGGTAAGGGGGTTAAGTTTAGGGTCAGTACTCTGGGTCAGGTGTAAGGTTAGGTTTAGGAAAAGGGCCACATAAAGCTGACAAGAAAAAAAACACTTACTGTTTGACTCGCATGCGAAGCTGCATATTATCAGAGATAACAACGTAATGTTAAACCTGCTAGGAGGGACAATAACGTCCATTTAATGGGCTGATAACATCCGAAGCCGCTGAAAAAAATCTGTTCAGCTACTTTGCAAGTTTCCTCCATGAGATGAACGCACACGGCCTCATCTTCCACGAAGGTCCTGAAGCTGTCCTCATCAAACGTTTTCTAGGCCTCCAGGTCATTCTTGAATTACTTGAAATAGTTCAGACCGTCCTCGTCTTTGGACTTAAGATCAATCGTTCGCTTCATGGTCTCAGTTTTGACCAGACATTATAAAACATTTTTAAAGTCATTTTGCACAATTTGGACTTTTAAGCCATTCATAGATAAAAATGTTCAGCTCATTCTAGAGGGGAGTACTTTGACTTTTGGTTCCTGTCTTTTTTGTACTTTTATACTTTTTAAATATTTTCCACCAGAGAAATACACTGAGGTCTCTTCAATTCCTCCAGAAACATTGTTCTCTTGGATGTTTACTTCAGCACACACGCTTTGTTTTTGTTTTCTTATGCTACTTTTAGCTGTTAGCTACTGTTTTGCTACTTTTAGATTTTAGCTAGCCTTTTAAGATGTGTGTTACTTTTAGTGTCTTGTTAGCATTTTGCTATATTTATCTTCAGCTAATCTTTTAGTTAGTGTTTTGATGCTTTTAGCTTTTACCTGGCAGTTTACTACTTTGACTTTAAGCTAGGATTCGGCTTCTTTTAGCTGTAACAACTCAGTTTCAGCTTCTTCTTCAGCAAATTTCAGAAGCATTTGCCTAGTAAATTCAATTTTTCTAAATTTTGTGTTGAGTTTTTTGTGTTGTTTTTGTTATTTTGTTTACATCTGACTCTACATTTTTCTCAGTCTTCTTACATTTACTCCAGAGAGTGCACTTTGGAGGTGGTGTGTGAACAAAAGTACTTTTTTTAGATTTATTTTGTTAGTGAGTAATTGTGGGTTCATTTTGAAAAGCCAAAGGAAGTTCAATCCTGCATTCATAAATACCCTTCACCTCCCTGGAAGCCATAAAAAAAAAAAAACATAGGAAAAACTCAAACACTGTTTCAAAACGTCAATTAAATGCGTCCACAGAGAGACACACTCAAGGAAACTCTACACTCCAAAACATGCATTCTTACATGGTGACCTTACACATCCCAGAGCCAATTAACAAATCAGGGTGGATTAGAAGTCAAAACCAAGAAAATACTCATTTACAGCATCCAAGTTGTTTAAAGTGTCTACGTATGTGTGTGTGCCGTGTGTATGGTAACGTGGATGTTGATGGGAGTCAGATAGAAAAGTCCTGGTGACTTGGGCCATGCATCAAAGCGCTGCAGAGGAGCCGCACGGCATCTGGGAGCAATAACGCTGCTTCTAACCCTTCATTACCACAAAGACTGGGCCCTGGGTGGCAGCCAAGGGCAATTTTCACAACCCTCTGCTCCTCACCTCCCTCCATTTCTCTTTTCCTCCATTCTTCTGCCATTCCTCTATAGAGTTTTGTCTTTATTCTAATGAAACACAGAAGGGAAATCTGTAATTCTTACATGTTGGGGATGAAGGGGAAAGTTGGGATAAGACTCAGTTTTATATACTTGTGTAGGTCAAATGAGAGTGCTTAGACAAGCAGGTTTGTCACATTGCTTCCTTGTAGATAATATGATGAACACAGTCTCATTTTTATAAGAAGAGACTTTTATTTTAAAAAGGGCACATGATGAAACTTAAGGGAAACAGCATCTGAGGTAAACTTAATTAGCCTTGGACTTCATTTAAAGCAAGGCCACATGTTGCTAACGTTTCAGTCAGAAACAGTGAACGTAAGCCAGGAGAACTGCAATGGAAAACTGCTAAACTGAACCAGTTCTATGTAAAATCTTGCAGCTGTTTGTGACTCATCAAGTTGCAAGGTTGTGCAATCTTTTAACAAATCACCTTGGCACAGAGCCAGTGTCCACACTTTCTAAGAGTTCATTAATGAGAGAAAAAAAGTGTTACTCGACAGTGCAGACAAGGAGGTTCTCATTTCTGGTCTTTTAGCTTTGGTGTCTAGATTTGCAGAAATTAAAAGCATACATTCTTTGATTTTTTTGGCTTAAAA